TTTTTAACTATTCATAGACATTTTAATTTTGTGAGTTTTTACGTAAATTGTATTCAGTTAGGTTAGGTTTATGGATTTATGGTTTACGTTTAAATCAATGAATAACATTGATAGACCAAACAAAAGTGTTTGACTATTTAATAGGACGTAATTTTTACTCAATGGTCAACAAGAAAAATTTGAGCTTAATGTAATATTTTTTTTTTATAAGATTTTTAAAATTCAATTTTGATAAAAATCGTAAATATTACGAACTTTTAAAATATGTATAACGGAACTTCGCTCCGAATCTTTTTCTTTATTAATAGTATATCGTTGGCTACAGATATAAATTACAAATATAGGTATAAAGGGTATCATAAATAATGCATCTCATGTCTAATGAGAAAGCCATGGTCCTACGATATATGTATGAAGGCTTTGAAACTAAAAAAAAGTGTAGAATTCAGTGGTTTAATAACCCAGAAAGTACAGAAAAATAAAACAATTACAGAGTACGAAAAAAATAAACAAGGAATTCGTCCAAAATATGTGGGAGTATACGATAAGAAAGTATAGACACTGTTTGTTGACGTTAAGGCTTTCTTAAGATACGGTTCTATACATAGGCCGAGCTTATTCAATATATTGAAAGAGTACAATACATTTTCCAAAAAAACTAATTTATCTCAATAAAGCCAGCATGAAAAATTCTAAGATAAAAATAAAAATAGCAAGTTCTACATCTCAATCGTTTAAAGTAACTGCTGGTCTGGGATAGATGTACACTAAATTCCCCTCCATATCCTACCTTCTCAACTTTTAACCCATAACAGTGGTCCATTTATTGTGCAAAATATGTCTGTCTTTATAATAATAATTAATTAGGCAATTTTTTTTTTTTTTTGTATTTGCAGCAGTATTGGCCGACACGTTTACGTGAATTTGTATACACACCAATATCGCAACTAGTTCTTATGGGGCTTTGGTTGAAACAATATTTTACCCTTATGAAAAATAATTGCCTATAAAACCAGTCGCTATAACTTAACTTATCCTAGCCTATCTATTATGGATTATATTGGTTATAATAACAAATATAACGTATTAATAGTATAACTAGGGCTCTAGGAGTACTAAACTATAATTATTTATAAGACTACTTTTGAAAATATTAAATCAAACAGATTACAATAAATTACTGATTTTACAATACCAAGTGGACCGGTGCACGCGGCCGATATGATGCGTGACGTAGGTATACGGGGAGAAGCCGACCTATTATACTATTATTATAATAATATGCTTGTAAATAACAAAATTACTACGAGTATTAATGAATTACGTTACAATAGTACTAAACAGCAAGCATACCTATGATGCGATGCGTGACCAATGACGTATGGTATACAGAGAGAAGCCGGCATATTATACTATTATTATAATAATATGCTTTTAAATAACAAAATTACTACGAGTGTTGATAAATTACGTTACAATAATACTCACGGTAAACATACCAATAATTTTGACTAATTGGATTATCCAACATCGATTAAAATCTTTTTACTGCTATAACAATGATAAACACTACCTTTACATTAGATTCGGAGGGCAGCGAGGATTCAATTGGTTTTATTGTGATGAGTGTTTTTTTTTTTTGTTTTTTTTTTATTTTTATTTTTTTTTTTGTCTTTGAACAACTTTTCTACCAAAAAAATTGCACCAAAGTATGGACTGTGACACTTTTTCGGAAAGATAATTTTCTCTCGTCTGGTGCTTTATGGGAGTCTATTTTTGATTTTCCAAAGAGTTTTTGAAAATATGAAATAATCGAGAAAAACCGAAAAAAAATTATAGGTAAAACGCCCAATATAATACCTCGTAAATTACCGTTTTTATTATGTTAACACGATGTTTTCTACCAAAAATATTAATTCAATCGAAAAATGACGGTAGATAGAAGTTATTAGTTTTTTTATTTTCTCTTTAGTTTTATTAATAATTAGGAATGTGGAAACTGACAAATTTACGGAGTCGCGATTTTATTATTTTAAATTTTTACGGCTTATATTATTTACATACGATCATTACTCCAATGGAAAAACATGAAAGGATCTTTTTTATTAAATTTTTAACCTTTTTGGTGACCAAGAAAGTCATCATTGCTTTTATTTTATTTGTTTGCAGCTTTTTTAATAATTAAGCAAAAATCAAAAAATACGTAGAAAGAACGGGACATTTTTCGAAAATAATACTTATATTATTTTCAATTTTGTTTTTTCGTTCTAATTCAGTTTCAAATATTCTAAGGCATTTAAAATGTTAACGAAAAAGTAACATTTACTTCTTTTAGATGTGGCAAAACTTTCAGAACAATTTTTGAACTCTTTAAAGACATTTTAATTTTGCTAGTTTTTACGTAATTTTTATTTGGTTAGAAATTCAATATAAGTTGTAATAAATGGTTAAAAAAAATTAATTTAATATAGTATTTTATTTGATATTTAAGTTGATAGTTTTGCTTTATCAACAATATATATATATATATATAATATTATGGTAAAATAATATGCATAATATTACATACCTATGCATTAAACATTTTCTTTAATAATATTTGTTGAACCCTTAAATGTATAACTTTTATTTTTCCTAAACTAAATTTGTTCAAACTAAATAAATTATGAAGAATCTAGGAAAAATAGTAAACAAAATCCTAGTTCAAATACAGCTTTAACAAGTTCAAATTGTAAGTTCGTTACACAAATGCAACTATATGCGCACAGACTTCATATTTTTGTTAATAAACGTCAGTAGTATTAGTAATATACATTATTTTGTTCCAACTAAATTAGATATAACTATATAAACAACATTGATTAGACGTCTGTGCCGCAGATATATACAATTTATTGGAGACAATAACAATCCAAAGTCGGCTATCTAGTTATTTTATGTATCTGTGGCACGGTCTTACAAGATTTTCTAAGCTATGGTCTTGTTCCAAGGGTTAGATATACATTTTTTTTTTTTTAAATTTGTTATAATTCAAAATAATACATTAAAGTAATAAGAAAAATTACCTACACCTTTAAGCTAAGCTTGTGGTGGCGTAGGGAGTTATAATATTATCATAATATGTATGGTGTGACATAGATATACATAGATATTCTGTATCTCGCCAAAATTCACAAATTGAGACGTAATCACACTAAACTCTGAATATGAAATTCAGTGTTTAGAGGCCGTACTGTCTGTATTGAAGTGCAAAAGGTTTCTATTTTACAGGATACATACTTTTCGAAAAAAAATATTGTGAAATATTTGGTACATTGGTTACCTCTTAAATCATATACTAGAGTACGTACTGTGTTCAGAAACGTTTTCCGAAGTCGCCGAACTCGTTCGGAAAGTATTTGGGGCGTGTCGGGATTTACCGAAACGCCCTTTTTGCGTTTAGAAACCAGTTTAATTCGCCTTCTTTAACTCATTCCGTGAGTGCGTTTAGAAACGTTATCCACGATTTCTGGGGAATCCGACAGAGAAAAATTTAGCACCCATTTCAATGAATCAACAAGTTACCAACCACCAAGTTACCTGAGGTACATTTATACTTTTATCAGAAATAGATTAGGTTTTGCGGCCACAAGGTAATAGATAAGGATACTACCCAGTTAATGTATTAATAATTAATTATTATATTACATTTTATATTAAATGGCTAATAATAACGAAATTTTAGCTATGGCTGCAAGCTGCTCAAATAAATTTCTTTTTAATTGTGGACTGACTTAACTGTTCAGTATTTATGATGATGAGGTTACATTAGTGAAAGAATCTCCGATTTTAATTGAAAAGTACATATATAGACAATTTTGTTATATATTATTTAATGTTTTTCAAAGCTTAGATAACTTAAGATAACAATTGGTAATAGTATAGTTCATACACTTATAATTACAATTTGGGGGAACTTTTTAAAAAAAATTAAATCAATCAGACATTAACAATAAACAGTTATAATAAACATTATTATTTTATAAGCACAATAGTAGATCAAAACTATATCAAATAATTGACGCAAAGTAAGAAGTGGTTTGAACCATACATACCACTGTCGTTTCACGGCCTACAGGAGTGCATTAAAAGAGGCGAACTAACCTGGTTTTTGAATGCTAAAAAGGTGTGTCGGCGACAAGTCCGAAATATTTTCTGAACCCACTCCAGGACTGGACATAAGAATATTATTATTATGGTTACGCATCGAGATAGATAAGAATGTGGTATATGTAGAATGTGTAGATAAGATGTGGTTACGAATGGAATATTATGGTTGGACGGAGTACAGTGGAATTTGCTTGTCTATCGATAGTTTCGCCATCTATCTGAGTGTTTTATAAAAATAATGTAACCACATAAATAAATAATAATTGTGATTTGGGATAATACGATCTATATAGTTCCATAAGTATCCACTAAGACGGCGCTAGTAATGCTAAAAAGGCGAATCCCCTATACTCCGCCCGTTAAATAACATTTCATAATAAACCCTCCACACCTTTCAACCTTGTTCGTGTCTAGTCTTGTATGGCTGTATATTTTAGTCCGTGCTATTATTTATAAATCTTGATTTCGACGTGAGATCGTCATTACGATTTAAGATATACATAGATTTAATATATAATTAAGGTATACCTTAAATCGTGCTAACAATCATGACAATATGTATAATTATCCGTTGTTAAAAATTTAAATATATATTATAATACAATAATGTGTACTATCTAAAGATAAAAAAAACCTACCTATTTATCTAAGGTTACCGAACGGTAGTGTGCAGTTAACTGATATCTCAAACGACAAGTTTAGTATTCGAACGTAGTCCGAATCTGATAACCAATGTCCAATAATTTTTTGTTATTTTATAATATTATTTATTGCTTATATTTCCACCAGTAGTATTCTTTATATATGATTTCCAATTATTGATTAACTTATTAATTAATTATCTTTAACAACAATACATTTAAATTTTAAGACGATAATACGTTATAACTTATACAAATGATTTCATCAGGGTTTAGCGGTGCTTTAAAATTAACCGATTTAGATGACTTTATTACTCCATCCCAGGTATTTTAATCAACACATTTTGTAAATATATACTTAATAGTATAAAACATTATCACGAGTATACGTATTGTTTTATTTCACAGGAATGTATAAAACCTGTAAAATTTGAAAAGTCATCACTTGGAACTGGAGCTAAAATAAAAATTGGAGATGACGGTTCCTATGTCCAAGAGTCCAAAGTAAATTTTAAAATAAAAATAAAAAAATTGTATAATTACTTTAAAGTATTCTAAACAAAATCTTAATAATAGAATATTAAATTAATTATATTTTTAGAATGGCAAAAGTGAAAAATTGAAACAAGTTGAAATCTCATTAACTGATTGTTTAGCATGTAGTGGTTGTATAACTTCAGCAGAAACTGTTCTTGTCCAACAACAAAGTACTGATGAAATGATGCGAATTTTTGATGCACAGAATGTATGTAAATATTGTTGGTTATATAAAATATATATTGTGGTAATAATTAATATAATTATTAATTAGTAATAACTTTCATAATTTAGACTCTGGACAATAAAAAGTTCATAGTCGTTTCCATTTCTATTCAATCATGTATATCAATTGCAACAAGTAGAAATATTACAGTTGAATGTGCCGCATCAAAATTATGTGGTAAGTTTGAACTGTTAATAATTTAACTTTTAAGAAACCTTAATTTTTATTAACTAAATCAACATAATTCATATTGTATTGATAATTTGATTGCTGTGTATGCTTTTATCAAACAAAAGTTATTATTTTGAAAAGTCTTAACTTTTTTCAAAAAAAAAGTTATTTTGACATTTTAAAAAATAAGCAGCACCAAAATTTTACATTTTTATTGATTTTCAATCTGCCACTTTTATTAACAATTTCATAATTAGCGTATTAATTTAATAATTAAACTAATACGCTAACATTAATTATGCTAATTGACGAGATATTTCACATTTAAGTTTGGTTAATGGGAGAGTAGTGGAGTACTATTGCAATTTATTTATTATAAATATTACTAATATCACCTCAGGGAGGCGTATGATGATATGGATGTAGTGAACTTGAGACCCCAAACTCCTACTGGTATAAGTTCAAGTGGGTTATTCCAGTAGGCATATGATGTTGTTTTTATATGGGGAGGAATTCTCTTTGTAGTTGACAATATCATTCTCCCTGTAGGAAGGCATCAGAATACTCCTACGGTACCTCTACCTGTTGTAAGAGGTGATGAGAGGGGTTTTATCAGGTCGACAGCCAGTGTAACAGTATGAGGAGTTCTATTTTGGAGGATTGAACTATCTCGAATGTGTGCGGAGACAACAAGTCAGAAAAGGTATCAGGATGCATGTTTGTGGATGATATAGTTATAGTAGAAGAAAATCTGGAATAAGTCAACAATAGGCTTGAGGATTGGAGAGTAGCACTTGATGGAAAGGGAATAATGATAAGTAGAAGTAAAACAGAGTATGTGTTTAGAGGAACAGGATGAGACAGTTAATGACAATAAGTGATTGTAGGAGAGGTTGAGAATTTTAAGTACCTAGGATAGTAGGATTTTTTGTACAAAATAATGGCAACTTTCATGAGAATGTCAAACATAGGATTAAGTGCAGTTGGATAAAATGGAGAGGTGTATTATGTTACAAGAGGATTCCAGTAAGATTTAAAGATACTTAATGTCTACAAGAGTGTGGTGAGACCGGCTATATTGTATGAGTCTGAGTTTTGAGCAGTAGATAGAAAAATAGAACAAAGATAAGAATACTAAGGTGGATGAGTGGAGTAGATAATGAATGAATACATAAAGCATAACTTTGATAGTAGACAAAATGAGAGAACTTAGACTGAGATGGTTTGAGCATGTCATGAGAAGAGAAGAATTAGAAGCAGTAGAATGATAATGCAAATAAATTTTGGAGGAATGAAGTGAAAAGGAAGAATAAAAAAGAAGTGGTTGGATGCGATTGAGAATGATATAAGGACAATAGGTATACACGAGGTGAAAGATCTGGTGGAAATTTAGAACTAGGGTGACAGACTTCTAATAGTTGGAATGAAGATGAAAGAGAATAGACTAATAAGACTAATTCATATTGTAATAAGTGACATATAGACATATACAAATTAAGTCTTTCTCTAATGTTTTCATAACCTAGGTTGTAAATATTTGTAGTGTAATATGTATTACTTACTCTTTTATCAACATTTAATTTAATCTTAAATCTTGTATAAAATATTTGACTTAGTTTTAATAGAATATATATATATGTGTGTTCAGTGGCGTAACTAAGGGGAACTACAGGGGTCACTCCATTCACAGTAGTTCTTTTATAATTCTGTTATGATTGTTTAATTTTTATATTACCTTATTATGGTATATACATTTTATTTTAATTTATTATTGACAGAGTAAGTATATTAGTTTATAATGTGTAATTTTGAGTTTGTTTTTATTTTTTTTTGTTCCCTCCATTGAGAAATCTTGGCTACACCACTGTGTGCATTATTTTAAATTACACTATTTTATTATATTTATGATCTATGCAATGCATACCTATGTATTTATATGTATTTATTTTATTATTATACAAAAACATATATTTAAAGGATATTTCAAAAAATTGGGTGCAAATATGGTACTAGACCTAAAACTTGCTGAAGATTTAGCATTATTGGAATCTCAGAATGAGTTTATAGAAAGATATAAATCAGCTAAAGTTTCAAATGTTCAAAAATTATTACCAATGTTGGCATCCTCATGTCCAGGTGAAATTATCAATCAGTGATATCAACTGGGTGACTGACATATAAATATTAATTTGTTTTTGTGAAGGTTGGGTATGTTATGTAGAGAAAACACACGGAAATTTTATTTTACCATATATTAGTCGTGTGAAATCTCCTCAGCAAATAATGGGTTCGTTTATTAAAGATTATGTTTCAAAATTACAAAATAAGTCTAGATCAGAAATATACCATTTGACAGTCATGCCTTGTTTTGACAAAAAGCTAGAAGCATCGAGAGATCAATTTTTTGATATTGACACTCAAACTAAAGATGTTGATTGTGTAATCACATCCAGTATGTATATACATTAAATATGTTGTTTTAATAATAATGGTATATACCTACTTAAAATTAAATTTCAGTTGAAGTGGATGCATTATGGACTAAACTTGATATTATTTTTGATGATATTGTCCCTGTACAATTTGACACAGGTATGGACAATAAATTGAAAGATAATTTTGAGTTGTTTACAAATAGTGGTTCTGGATCTGGGGGCTATGCCCACCATTTATTTTGTCATGCAGCTCATGAATTATTTAATATCAATATTGATAAAGTTGAATTTAAACCTCTAAGGTTAGTATTAACCTGTAATTAATTATATTACTAATACAAATTATTCACTAATAAATTAATTGGGAAGATATCTTGTAATAGAAATATTGATATGAAAGAAGCTACATTAGAAGTCGATGGAGTTGTTGTACTACGTTTTGCCATTGCGAATGGATTTAGAAACATACAAAACCTCGTACAAAAATTAAAAAGTAAAAGATGTCCTTATGATTATGTTGAAGTAATGGCATGTCCTTCAGGTAAAATATTATATTTCATTATTTTAATATTAGAATTCCTTATTTTTTATTTTATCTATAATTTATAAAATAAAGATACAGAAAAAATATTATTATGATATTAAAATATAATATAATATTTTACTATTCAATTTTTTTAAGGTTGTTTGAATGGAGGTGCTCAAGTAAAACAAGTAGAATTTAAACCAAGTAGAGAATTTACTAATACTTTAGAGAATACTTATGATGAGTTACCTAAAAGAAGTCCAATACAAAACAAAAGTGTACAGTACTTATATTTAAATTGGTTAAATGAAAACAACAAAAACAATTATTTATTTACAACATATCGTGAAATTAAAAAAAATGACCAACCCCTTAATATCAAATGGTAAACATATTTTAAGTTTATTATTTAATTATTTACTTGTAGTTTTTTATTGTATTAAATTTTGTAAAAAATATAATATTGTATCTATCTATTTATTAAATAATACTAGTAACCACTTAATAATTTATATTCAATATCAATCTCTGACTAAGCTATAAAGACTAGATGCTGAAAAAGCATAGTTTACCTTTATTTTGAACATTTGTTACAAATTTAAAATATTTTTAGAGTTAAATAAATGTACATAATATTATGACTAGTTATCAGTCAAATATAAAGTAACAAAGAAATATGCCAAAACTTGTGTTAAACATGATGTTACATTATACTAAATATGCAACAATAAGTGTTATTATGAAATCAAATTTAAACGAAAATCGCAAAAAAAATTAGCGCACTTCAAATTATGTGTTACTGAACTGCGCTTGAAATTTTCTTTCGTCAAGCAATGGTTTATCGTTGCTTACAGATATAAATGAAATAACCATATGTATCCTACCTTCCCAAATTCTTACCTACAACAGTGGCCGCTCTCATCCCCAGTATCAACTCTTTTTTAAATTAAGGCTACTCGCTGACAGGCAATTTCAATCACAACAGTTTAATTGCATGAATGACTTCCACAGTGATAAATGGCAATGAGCTCACATGTAACTGATCAGTTTGACCAAATAATTAGTTCAATGGCATATACAAGGGAGGAGCAATAGGGGCGATTGGCCCCCTGGGCTTTAATGAATTTGTTTCATGTGTAGATTCACACTTATTTTATTATTATTAATTAAAAATTTGAAAAAAAAATTATTATTTTTTGTGAGGAAATGGTTACCAAAAACTTCTAAAGAGATTAGAGATATTGTAGCTATCATCAACATATACATCTACTATTGGTTATAATCATAGACCTTAATACCTTATAAACAGCAAATCAAGGGATATTTTCGTTTTACGCTATCTGAGCATTATGCATTTATTTTTTCCCTGTTAGCTAGCCGATGTAATTTTGCACAATAAATCGAGGGTTTTTCGTTTAAAACAGTCCAGTAGTGTTAATAGTAGACCAATAACGATGATTTGTAATCATTTTTGAATTCTTAATGAAAATCGAACATTTATTACTCATAATAGTGGAGATCTTAATAAATATAACAAATTTTATATAGTAAAATAGAAAAGTATACATTTAATATTATATGCATATTTTTCCAAAGTGTGCAATATTTTTAATGTGGGTTTTCATAAAGTTATAATATAGGTATTTTAATTTACTGTTTAGGTTAGGTTTTTTCATTTTTTTATTTTACTCAGATACTTGAACTAGTCCATTGAAAATTAATAGTCGGCATTAAATATTGACCCCTCACCAGTATCAACCCTTCTCCATACAAAACTACTGTTAAATGACTGGCAGTGAATAGTCCTGCGGCAAAATGTCCTAGACTCCAGAATATATTCGTGTCAGGTATTGTCATCATAGATAATAAATAAATATATTTTATTTATTATTATTTTTTTACAATATCTATATATAAAAATGTGAGAGTACGACAAGGAGGATGTGTATATACATTGTTTGTTGACTTTAGGAAAGCGTATGACTCGATACATAAGCCTAGCCTATTTAATATACTAAAAGAATTGAATGGTCTTAAAGGCTGAAAAAACCTAAAAAAAAATAATAATAATACCTATAGATGATTTATTATCTATGACCGTCACATTCAGAACGTAGATAATATATTATCTTGTCTACATTGTGGTTATATTATTGGCTAGTATTTACTATTTGATTAATTTCATATTAATGATTACTAATTTTGAAATAAAAAATATTTGTTTATTTTCATGTTAATATAGTTATACAGCATAAAATGGAAAACTGGGAACGCTTTAGTTATTGTCACTGAGGTATTTTAAAAACTCAAGTTGGTTTTATTACAAATAAATTTGCTTATACTCATTAGGTTCCATTTAATCAGATTAAGTTTTATTTTTTTTTTAACTGAGCAGACATATGCAGAGAACAATATTAGAGGGGGGATGCTGTTTGTTTTTAAACCTATTAGTATAACATTTGTATGAACAATTGCATGTGAGAAAAACATTTTGTTAGTTTAGACCCCATGATTAGTTTCTTGAAAATTTAGTTAAGTTTAGTTGATGAGTTTTTAGAAAGTTCAGTTAGGTTTAGTTAGTTCTCAGGAATGTCCTTTAGTTTTCAGTAAATGTAGTCCTCCTTCAAAGTTTTGTCTACTTTAACCACTAACCACAAGGCTCTAGTAATTATTACAAAAAAAAAAAATATTGAACAGAACAATCTGTGAACCACTCTATATTCATAGACAATTAATTAAGTATTTAAAACAACTGAAAGATGAATTATTATTGTATAATACTTTTCATCAATAATAATAAGAGTGTAAATAAGCCTACTATTATGTTATTCTATTATAGGTTTTATCAAGATAAATTATTAGTTGCAAATAACTTATATTCAATAAGTAAAAGGTATTAAAGGTATTTTATTATTTTGTTAAAAATATAAATATAAAATTTGAATAAAGAACATGCAAAATACATTATTTATAAAACATTATAATTTTATTTCAGAGATTAGAACAATCTATGTGTACATTTAGTTGTAAACATTATATATTGTGTGGGATGTGTATGTTGTTGCAAGTTAATATTATTATTATATATAACATCAATCAAATTTAAAACCTTTTTGTTGAAGAGCCTTTTTTGCTTCATCTATTTCCTGTGAAATGCAAATTTATGTATTAAACTACTATTATACTATAACAATAATAGAAAAGTTGAACATTATAATTACCGCATATAACTCTGTGGCAGCTAATTGGCAGTCATTGAAAGTTGCTACTCGGTACAATACAATTGCCAATGAGACCACCTGAATATATAAATGTATACAGTTATTATATAATATGTATAATGTAATTATAAATCCCTTGATATCACTTCCATTAACAGTCTCCAGGTTAATCTAAAACTAGATTCTCTAGCAATTTGTTGTAAAATATGTCCTTATTCAAATTGTTAAATGGAACTATATCCTGTCCCCCACTGTTAGAACTTATTTCATGCCCAACATTCCATGTTGAAATCCACTGCACTAGTTATGGTTAGTTTAGTTTTTTTAATTAGCTCTTTGCGAAGGCAACCTTTAAAATTTAATTTTTTTTTCAATAGTTTATCAGACCTTAAATGCCACTACTCTAATTTTTGATTGTACATATAACTTTGAATTGTTAAATTACTTTAACCACATATACTCTACTACTTGTTACTATACCACTTATATTATTATTATTATTATCCTATATTATTTATTTCTGTTAGTGTTGATTTGTATTGCTGGGTATCAGCGCTTAATTGATGGTATTGGTTATACTAGTGTATTGTTTATGCTTGTTAGCGTTAAAGAATACTAGTAAATGCCACGAGCAGGCTACCATCATCTCTCCCAGTTATGATTTATATTCGATATATATTGTGGCCTTAACTGTGTTGATTTGTATTCCAGCCATACGAAATAAATAAATAAAATATATTTCTGTACTTGAGCCTAACAGGCGTTAATTCAATAAAATAAAATAATTATACATAGTACTTACTCCAAAAACAATTATTGAAATAATTGGAAGAAATTGAATTATCAAGTAGTATTCTTTGGGAATATTGCTATCATATTGATGAAATAGTATACTTAACCAAATTATGCATAATGTATTTAAACCGATGACCCATTGAGTAAGCTTTTTCATTTTGTTACCAGATGATTATTACTATTCATATAATTTAATTTGGGAAATATGATTATTCTATTTCATTTATTTATTAGTAATAACATAATAGTAAATAGTAATCCATCAAAAACGATGTGTCGGTCGTGTCGCTATGTTCTATATGGTGATAACTGTGATAAGAAAAGAGTGAACACGTGTTGATAATGATTGGTGCTCAACTTTGACAACTACTATACAATACATATTACATGCGGCACTATATATATAGACGTATATATTATATACGATTGTACTAACTGCAGGTATTGTAAATTGAAAATTTTCTCATAATCAAGTTTTTACATGTGCATTTTAAATAGGAACCGTGATAGCGGTTTTTTTTGTACATGAACAAGATCATCTTCTAGGTTTTATTTTGATTATGTTATTTGATCGTGTTTTTTTTTTTCAGAGATGATATTCGAAGATTTAATTAATTTTTTCAAATATGTATTAGACCACATTCTTTGTAGTCTCAAGCTGTGTGGCGATTTAAACCATATAGATGTGGAAATTCTATACCTGTCCAAAGATTATATAATTGTCAATAAACCCGAGGACGTTTTTACAAACAATCATGGCAAAGACGTCAGTGACTTACCTTTTACCATTCGAGTTGAATAATATTTATTTTAGACGATTGTTATTTTTATGTATCATAGAGACCGTCTTTGGATATATTGTTGGGAAAAAAATATCCGCATTTGGTGAACAGCAATTTGGAATACGGGTTCTATTTTGTCCATCGCCTAGATTATGTAACGAGCGGCGTACTATGCATAGCACTGAACAAACAAGCGTGTGCCATTGCTTCGACTGCCATGCAAAAGAGAATATCTCGGAAATATTATATTGCATTGCTCAGGGGACATGTGTCTGCAGACAACATGGATTTAATCAGTCCGATTGGTAAAATGGCCTGGTAACAGATTGCAGAGTTTGGTCGGGCAAATGTTTAGTTCGTATATGACATGGCATCCAAAAACTTGCAGACACAAGTAAGTTCTTACACGAGTCTAAAACGTATTAAATATTAAAATACTCTTACTTCAAAAAGGAAACGAAATTAAAAATCTTAATAAACACCTCAATAATATAGGTTTTGGGTACAGTTATCTATATAACCATGGTTATAGAATATATAGTAGGTTATTCAATTTATCTGACAATTTTAATTCAATTTTTGAAAGTTAAAGAAATTAAAAAAAAAACAAAAGTCTAGATATTTTCTATAATACATAAATATATCAATTATATCTCCTTTTAGTGTGTGGGTATTAATATATATATATATATATATATATATTTAAATTTTAACAGAATTCAACTTAAATAATTTGCATAGATTTGTGAGAACTTTCACTTGTTTATCTATACTCACTATGTCTCGTGTAGGAGCTTACCAATTTGTTGTTCCCTTCCTACTAATCTCTTCACCTTTAAATTAACTTTCAAATGTACAACACTTAATCAGGGATTGCAAACCTAAAACAAATAAATGTTTTTTCATGCCGACTTAAAAAGTGTTAAATTGATCATAACATTAAATTTTAAATTTCAAAAAAATATATATTTTTCAAATAATTCAGTAATGAATTCAGTGATGAATAACTTATATTTTTTACCATCTTTTAGTATATATCTATTCTACATAAATTGTTTTACTTGTCAATAGCTGACTAAGCTAACTTTATTCTGAATAAGTACGTGTATCATGTATTTTTAAATTATTTATACTTTATTATAGATACCTAATCAAAATAAATAACTGATTCCAACTTACTTGATTTACAGATAACTACTAAAAATATTTGCCATCCCTGTCCGACTGAATTGCATGAAGTCTATTTGGTTACTTGCACTATTATCTACTGTACAACGGATTGTTAATATTTGCAGGATATTGTTCGAGAGAACTTAACGGAAATCATATAATGTGTACAGCGGATAATGGTTGTTGCACTAGCCCGCGGTCAGCACACACGCGATTAGCCGTACTGGAACGTGGTGTGTTCATGTCATATCCTGCGACTAAAGTTCTTATGCTTCTGGTTACTGGACGGCGTCACCAGATACGAGTGCATTGTTCGGCAATCGGCCATACTGTTATTGGGGACTACACTTATAGTGGCCGTAGAGACACGACACCAAGCAGAACGTTTTTACACTCTTACAGGTTGGATTGATCAGTTCAAAAATTCAAAAACTATAAGTTTGAAATATGTTGTGGCTACATCTGAGTTCTGATTAATAATGAAATTGTTATTATCAGTTTTGACCATTACAAAATAAGAAACATGTCTTAACTCTATCCTCAATAATAAAAAATCAATTTAGATGTAGCCACTGTTGGTTTTGATGTTTTTTTAATTTTTTCTTTTTCTAGATTAGAACTGGGTTTTGGTGACATAAATTTGCAGACAAATGACCCTTTTACGAAAAATAAACTTAATGGTCTCTGGACTCCAGTGGAATTTGTCAACAAATTAGGCGAAAATTGTTTGGATTTGTTTAACCAGCCAACAATATGCAGTTAATCCTCTTATGTTAATTTTCTCATATTTTTTAATTAAATATATAAGGTATTAATTTTTTTTTTAAATTTAATATGTTTAATAATGAGGTATTTTATGTTGAAGATAAATGGGACACCTTCAATTTAATATCTAATTTCTAACAAAATTGTTGTAGATATAATAGTGGCTATACTCTTTCAATCATGTTAAAACTAAGCCTTTCTAGTCTTTGCTATTCTAGTGGTGAATCTACTAAAATCTGCTGTCTACATGTGATATAGATTGATTACCCCATTCAGAAATTGCATTAGTTGTAAAATATTTGATGGGCGAATTTTAAACTGGGGGTATATTTTTTGGATATCAATTGATTCTGTCTTAAAAAATATTGAGTTTCATCACAATCAGACGAGTTTATCTTCTGTTATGACCATAGGATAATCTATCAAAATATCCTAATTTAACAATTTAAAAAATGTTTTTATAAACAAACTAGCATTTTGAAACTTTGATTTACATAAATAATATAAAGTACTATTTAAGTTAAATTGTTAAATAATTCAATTATATAGATTAGTAGATAACACTTTATTTTATAATAAAATTAGTTAAAATATTTAATTAATTAAATTAATGATGTAAATTAGTATACTAAGTACATCATATTCTATAAATTTAAAAAAATTGTTTTAAACAGAAAATTTTATTTAATTTTTATAAAATAATTTAATGACATTAATTATTATGTAATAAAATTAGTAACAACAGTAGAAAAAAACAATTGATATTAATATTGTCATTTTATTCCTCTCAGTGGCATTTTAATTTTTTTATCTGTAGTGATACTCAATCAATATAAACATTTTTTTTTTTTTTTTGCAGTTTATTTTTCCAATAACTTAGTAACTGTATAACTCAATACAAATGAATAATTTTAACTATTATGTTAACATTTTTATACTTAATAAGAAATTGTATTCAATAATAAGTTTTTAAACTAGTATATTAATAATTTCATCGTTATATAATCTTATATTATCTATATGGAACATATCTTTTTATTTAATAAAAACAATTATTCTATGCTAATAATTTAATATTTGAGTTAATTTTTATTAGAAAATATAGTGTTATCTACTTAATTGAATTATTTAACATTTTAACTTGAATTGTATTTTATGTTATTTGAGTATATTTTGAGTACATTTCAAAATGTTTGTATTTATTTATTAAAATATTTTTAATTTGGATGTTTTTATTTAGATTCGGCTATAGACCTGGTAATAAATTATGATTAAATATTCAGATTTATAATAGGAAAGTTCAACAAATTAGTGTATTCAATTGGTAATAATAATATTATATCTAGTTTAGGCCAAATATACTAATTTGATTACGGGTGCCAATTTGCAGATGCCAGATCATAACCTACAACAGAATATTAATATGCATCTGTAGATAAAAGATAGGTATATGATAATATATGACAATACAAAAAACCACGGGTTTAGAATATGACATATATCAATGCAAAATGCATCTTTTTTTGAGTGATATTACATAATGCTTTCCAAGTAGATAATTTGATTCATGTAACAGAGAATTTTTAAACTTATTTTGCTTTTTTTTTATATTTTTGAATATTTTATTTTTAGAGGTATTTTTTTCTCTCGTTTTACTACATATTTGTACAATGTACAAGCATGATATTATGTAGTATTTGTACCTTATGCAGCCATCAATTAAATATATTAGCCATATTTAATTTATAATACGACTTAATAATTTAAATTTAGCTAATTCAAAATGTTACCCTAAGTTTTCGGTTTTTCAGTCAATCGGTCCAAATACAGGCCCTCAGTTAATACTATTGTCACTAGTCACAAGTCAAATTTTTCAATTTTCTGTTTTTTTTTTTTTTTTTAATAAAGTAATAAATTTAAAAAATGTGTATGTCATTTTTATCTTTTTTCTAGAGCACTATTTAATGATTTTAAGTGGATTTAAATCCGGGCCCTAATAATAACTATAGAAAAATGTATACACTATGCGAGAAACTCATACAGTCAAACCTTATCAGTATCAATGAACAATTTTCAGTGATTGCCTATAGAATCACTTAAAAACATAATGACAGGACAATATTATAGTTACCTACTAATAAAAAAATGTAGATACTAACACTGAATAAATTATAAAACTAATTATATTTAATCAATGATACTAACAACTACTTTCTGGAATTCAGCAAAAAATACATACTAAGAAAAAAATTGCTGTTGAAAATTAATATCTAATGAATCTGCAAGCAAATTGAAAAATATTAGTGTATCTTTTATATTATTATCATTTAGGTATTATAGTGGTAAAATGTTCAAAATCATCGGATGACTTTTGTTCATGAGTGATTTGAAATTAAATTTAAACAAAAATTGCAAAAAAAATTACAGCACTTCAAATTACATATTACCAAACTGCTCTCAGAATCATCTTTAGTCAAGTAATGGTTTATCGTTGCTTACAGATATAAATGAAATAACCTTGTGTATCCTACCTTCCCAAATTCTCACATACAACAGTGGCCGCTCCCATCCTCAGTATCGGCTCTTTTTTTCTTTTTCTGCTTTAATTTTTAATTACCTTATATAGGTAAATCTGTTGGTTTTAAAATATATATATATTATTTTGTTCATTGTTACTATTTGTACTCCTAGTATTTTGTATAATTGAATCATGTTTTCTTCTCTTTGTGTTTAATTTCAATGACATTCAATTAGTATATTAAGTTTTATTAGTGTATCATATAATATGATGATTATAAATCTAAATATTCAATATACTTTAGCATTATTTACAGGAAAATAGATTACCAATAAAATTATGTGTAGGCATAATATTCTATATTACTATTAAGAAATTTTGGTCAGGGTTTATACAATGATTTAAAATCATAATATAATATTATGAGTACCTACGACCCACTTATTAACAGAAAATACAAATTATATACAATTATTCACTGTAAAACTTGATAATGTAACGCGTTATCAGTAATTGTACGATAATTTGCATTGGTCTATTATTGTAAAATTAGTACATTGGTGTCAAGGCGGACTACACCACTGCAATACGTTTTCACGTAGCTGGCAGCTCATAATCCTGTAGTCATATAGATATATGGTTCTTTGATAGAATTCAATCGACGTGTGATAACAGTGGTTACCCATATCATTATGTATTTTATATCTATAGATTATAAATTATCTATATATTTAATAAGCAAATGATAATATAATTTGTTATCTATGCGTTTTATTCTCAAAATTGTAAATTTTTTTAAAAAAACGTTTTAAATGTCTTACGCGTTAAGTGAAAAATGGTGTTTAGAATTTTACAGTATTTACTAAACCGCAATGAATTAGTTGACAAGTTAGCAGAATCCAATTTTATGAAAAAGATAGCGCGATTCGTTGTACACAAAATAATTCGTGCCAAATCATTGACCGAAGATATGAAATCCGAACAGTTTAATAAAACATTGAAAAATATTGCCGAAAAACTCAAGGAGAAAAAGGATAAGTTGGATGGTAAACCGTAATTTTCTCTGTATTAGATATCAATGTTCAGTCGTACAATGAAAGACCATTCAATTATATTTGTGGGCTCGGAACCTTCTAAAGACAAATATGTCATTACTCGCGCGTTGTCGTATTTTACAATGCCAGCCAATGATTTACCAAAACGTATATTGACATCATTCACACCGCCTCTCCATTCAAGATTTGTTTATGTGGACTTCCTGGGACCATGTTTGGCGTTCATACTATTGGCAGCAATACTCAGTTATGGACATGCATACAAAATTCCATCAGCTGTCTATCACAGATCACCGACTGAAGTGTTAGCAATATATTGTTTTTTAATGCCAGCAATTTGTTATATTTTAACTGGTTTAGGAAAGTCTAGTATATCTTTTTTGCAGATATTGTCCTTATTAGGCTATGGTCTTTATGGTTATGTTTTTACTCTTATCATTAGTTTTATATCGGATGAAACAAATAATGTAATATTTTACTTCTCTATGATATTCTTTACTGGTAGTAGTGTTTTTAGAATATGCCTCATAATATTATTAACTATTAAAGTGCCTGGTGCGCGACTGTTGGTCTGTAGTATTATTGCTACTTTGCAAGTACTATTTGTTGTATTTTTATATTTTACATTTGTTCATTCGAGTTTTGTATTTACTAAACACTGAATTGTTTAGTTACATGTAAGTAGCACATTGTTAGCCAATTACTACACAAATTATATTTATGTATACATAACTAAAATATTTTTATTTTTTTACCTAATATTATAATCATCAAAAATATTATAGTTACTATCAGATATCCCAAAAATATAAATGTCTTCAATGTGGTAGGGTTAATAATAATATTGCTGAATGTAGTAACTCCATAGATGCAAATTATTTTTTGTTTAGTCATCGATATACATAAATAAAAGTAATCATCGAGTATGGTTTTCGAGAATATTTTAATTTGCGATACATATTCATTGGTGTTAATAATACAATTAGAACTACAAAAGAAAAAGAAAATAAATATTGAAAAGTGTTACACATATTGGTTACAACTGTTATTTATATAGAATTAATAATAAGGTTAAAATTATTTCAATTGTATTATTTTCGAGTAACTATACTCCAGTATCCTTTAGTATTTGGATCTAGAACAATGCGTCCTCATGAAAAAGTCGAATGCCGACAATTCATCCCCGTCATAATTTTATACACGGACAATTTTCCATTTATTCTGCCCTTGGAAAAATTATTTTCCTAATATTTTCTTATCACTTATCACTAACAATTTTTAATACCAATACCATAGATCAATGGTTCTCAAACTGTGCGGCGCGCCACCCAAAGGAGGCGCAAGGATTTAACAAGGGAGGCACAACGGGCGATTGGAATTTTGTATACATAGTTATTTTTAGACCAATTATGTGTGCATAAAAATTGTATAAAAACGATTATGTTATTTTAACCATCCGATTCTTCATAATCACTTTAAGGATTTTGGAACAGTATTAAAGATGAATATCCTAAAGTTTCAAAGTCCTAAAATTCCTAGAGTCACCAAAGATTTAGATATATTAATACCATTTTGAACATCGTAATTGTATGAAGCAGGATTTTCAACAGTAGCCGTATTAAAATCAAAATATCAGTCCAGACAACATGTAAAAAGAAATGCGTGTTGCAGTAACTGCGTTAATTACTAATTTTGAAAAAATAATAAAAGAAAAACAAGCGCATTGTTCGCATTAATTATTTTGTATAAACTAAAATAATAAGTTTACTGTTAACTAATAAATATTAAACAATTGTTAATTTATTTTACTAAATATTCTTTGCGGGAGATTTGAAAAAATTGTTTTATTATTAGAGAGCCTTAAATGAAAAAAGTTTTTGGAACCGCTGCTATAGAAAATAAAGTAATTACCAAACTATATTAATACAATCGACTATATAAGTTATAAACTAAGTTTATGTAGTTGAAGACTAATACCACAGAACCCGTATAATTCTGTGGTAATATGTACTTTGTTCTGTGCTAATACTTAATACAATTACATTTTTGAAAATTAAAAAATGAAATTTTATTACTATAGGCATATAGTTTAATTTAAAAGAATTATAGTCAAAATGGTAAGAATAATATTAACCTAAGATTAATCTCGTGGTTAAAAAAGTATCATCCATAAATAATAAATTAATGTTTTAATTAACAAAGCTAGTTAGTTAAAACGAAAAATCTATTATAATTATTTTTGTTGTCATAAAGAAGAAATTGCTGTGGATCTTTTCTACAGTAAGACTGTATTAGTGTGTTCCATTTTGAAGACTTGATGTGCTTAAATGTAATTCATTTATTGATGTTAACTTTGGGTAAATATTATAACGGATTCTTCTTAAAGTTTATATACAATTATTTTCTATAGTTATCTTTCCTATCTTTTTCAAATAAATTTATAAACATTTTTCACATAACTTGGATGGTAAATTAAAATTTTTTTGTATATCTTGTAGATTTTGCTTCATTTTACAGATTACTCGTTCTGATTGCAAATCACCCTGATTAGATTTATAATTAAGTGATCCAAATTTTATAACTATAGTGTTAAATCATTATTAATAGTTATACTACCCTTACATATATCTATATATGAATACACACCTAATGTTTACCATTTTTAAGATGTTTTTGAAAAATACAAAATATTTTGATATCTCAATTTAATTTTTTTCTTGCAAATATTTCATAACAACCAAATACAGTTGGTATAAACTATTAAGTTAATAAGTCTATGGCCTATATAGATTTCAAATCTTCTGGAATATCTAAGACTAGAATTTAATTTATAACCTTTAACCAATCAAAGTTCTTATTTTATCTTATTAAGATGTATACAAATCTGTTGAAAAAAAAATTGTTTGGAACAAATTATCTTAGTATAAAATGATGGGGAAAAATTATCCACATACAAAGTTTTTTCGCTGTGAGGAATTATCCTTTTCCTTTAATATTAAGTACCTAAATGAATACAAAAAAGTAAACTGTATACTTACATATTATTACAACTAATTCTATGTAAAATTAGTTGATTAGATTTTAGCCATACAATGTTTAAATCTTCATATTCAAATTTATAATTGATAATACAGTTTAATTCAATTGCATCTTTATCATTAATCATTGTTACTTCATTGTAAGTCATATCTGATCAAAATTGTATAATACAATTTATAAATATGAACAAAATAATTAAAATAATACTTGTATATACCTGACATATTATGTGAAAAACTATTGAACTCACTGAAGTGGTCAATTAAATAATTATTAGGATTTAAAATATGATCATTTAGTTTTAAATATCCAATAATTCCTCGGAGTTTTGTTAAATTGTGTTCTTCTTGAAACTTTAATATGTTAATGTAATTGTATTTAGATTGAATAATTTAATATGATTTATGAATATTAGGTAGATATAATAATATGTATTGACCTTAGTATTTCCAATATATAAATGATTTTTACACAGTTCATTTGGATTAAATATGTCTGTAGGAATTATCAATGTACGTTTTTCCCCATTTACTTCTATAAACCAGCTATTTTTCTGTTGTTTAATTTCCATATGAATCCAAGAAGAATCAATCTCTTCAAACTTTAATGACACTTCATCAAAGTAATCATCTAGTTTGATCTTTAGTTTTATTATATCTTTAGAAATGTCTACTAACATGTAATCTGTGATAGCTTTAATTGAAATTACATTACCACAGGCTAAATGCTCAAATCGCAAATACATTTCCAACTAAAACATTTACAATGTATAAATATATATCAGTGTTATTAATTTTCTTTAAAACCTTCCAAAAATTGCTTAACATTGAACATGGAATTTGAATTGTTTTGGATAAATCTGAATATGATTGTTCTTCTGATAATTCAAAGATAGTGTTAAAAGATGCATATGGTAAATACATATCTGAAAACTAAATATATTAATTATACACAAAATAAAAATATAAGCAAACAATTGTTACTATTACTTTACTGCTGATTGTTAATGCATAAGATATAAAGTTAACATTAAGTTTTTCAATGTATCCTTCAAAACCCTCTCCAATATTCATCACTTGATCAAGATTTATAGTTGAAGTTGACAATATACATTCAACTTTTTTTGAAATTTGAACATTATTTAATTGTAGTATTATTAAATTTTTGGTAATAGCAAATGAAACTTCATTCCATCCAATCTAAAAATAAATAATTAGGTAACTTACAATGATAAAATAATAAAGTAAAAACAAAATTATTGAAATGGTTAATACTCGTAAATAAATGAAATAAATAAAATAAAAATAAAATAGCTGATACTGGGGATTGGAGCAGCCACTGTTGTAGGTGAGAATTTAGGAAGACAGGATACATAAGGTTATTTCATTTATATCTGTAAGCAACAATAAACCATTGCTTGCCGATTCCGAGCACAGTTCGGTAATACGTAATTAGAAGTGCAGTAATTTTTTTTGCGATTTTCGTTTATATTTGATTTCAAAACGTTTATTTAAAAAAATTCAACTAAAATATGGTCTCTTACCGTTTTTCAATTGGCGCCATATTTGTGTTAGAAAACGTTGTAGGTACTTATTTAAAATGCAATCGTGAAAAATCGTATTTGTTTAGTTCTAACCTAACCTCTTACTGTTTAACTATATTAATAAACAAATTTTAAATTACCAAATATTTACAGTAATATATTTTAAAAATTGAATATGAATAAAAAAACGTCATTAAATTTTACCTACCAAATTGTATAATGTCTACGATTATTAAAAAAAATTCATCAGACGATTTTGAAAATTTTACCACGTCTAGGTAAGTCCAATATAAGTATTATTTTCTAGTTTCTATGTATATTTGTAACCGAATTACAGCAAACAACTCCCAAAAATTAAAATTCCTTAAAAGCTCAAAAGTTTTGGCGACGATATCATAAAAAAGTATCTTCAGATTTTTCGATTAAATCATTTTTTATAGAAAACGTCCGAGTTTTTATAAAATAATTAAATCCTGAAATTGTACGTTTTTCTACGTTTTTTCACACTTAAGTGGCGTTTTAATAAAAAAAAATGGCGTCGAAAATTAAAAAAAAATGACTTTTTTAACATACAACCTAGACAACTTGATCTTTCAGAAAAGTTGCTACACGTAAAAATTGGAGTAAGTTTACTAGGAAAAATATGTCCACAGACTAGAAAAATAAACATCTTAGTAAAACCAATAGCTCCGTCGTTATGCTCGAAATCTAATAAATAAATGAATCAATGCGTCGCCTGAAGTATTAAGATAACTGTATTATACGTATAAAAATAATCCTGATAAAATATTAAAACAAAATAATATAGTTAAACGACAAAAAACAATTATTAACAACACAGTGAATAAATTAAAAACAAATAATTCAGAAATAGTTACGATGGATAAATCTAATGCTATTGTTATCATTTATACTAATAAAATTCTTAAAAAAAACTTTAGATTTTATTAATAATAATAATATTCAAAACTTAACATATGACCCAAATATAATTTGCACCAGACAAATTAAAAACTGATTTGATTGAAAACGCATTGATTCATTTATTTATTTTTTTTTATATATATAATTTTTTTATTTACATATTTATTTACTTTAATAAATTAATATAAATATTAAGCAATATTTATGTATTTGCATTGTGATAACAAATTTTAAATTATTTTATACTTTATTTCAGTCATCTTACATTTATAGTTGATGAACTTATCAATATAATATTATATCCATCTAAAACAACTGTTAAAAATAACCGGCAATTGATCAAGCTCAGTTGTACACTATTGCAATCTTCACAATCATCATTAAATCTTCGCAGTATAGTACCAGACACATCATCAAATGAATAAAATCGTATAGTGATATATAATAAAGTGGTATTTATTTCTGTAGCTGCATATTTTAGATGTGATTGTTTGTCAAATGTAGCTACCATAATTGGTGGTCCTACATTAATATTCAAAATTACCTACATATTAATATATTATTAAATGATATTATAATCACATAAAGTTATTAAATAGGTAGATCAAATATGATAATATGTAGGGTTTTATGATTTATTCAAATTTTTGTTACCTTTACAAGGTTCTACATGACAGTTGCTAGTTTGTACAAATTCTCCAGTACAATGTTGTCCGAATCCTTCAGGTTCTGGTCTACTACAACTCCGCATCCTATATCGAGTGCCTTTGTCACATTTTGCTGAACAGGGACTCCATTTTTGCCATTCAGACCATCCTCCATCAACTACAACATATACAAATATTGAACATAAAACTGTTGTTTTTTTAAATGTAGAATAAGAAAATATATATTCTACAATCTGGTATATAACATTGACTAATTTCAGTATGTGGTCCAAAACATGATGTGTAAGAACTATTTTTACTGTGTTGACAAAAGCGTTTACGTATAATAATACCATTTCCCTGACGGACACTGCATTGTGACCAATTTGACCATTTACACCAAGTGCCATCTATTTTAAACAAATCCAATTCCTTTCCACAAATTATTAAAATTAAATAAATTTGTAAAGTGGATAGATACTTATTTTAGTTTTGCAGGAGTTTCCAAAGCAATTTTTATGTTCCATATAGTTTCCAGTACAACTAAGAGATGATCTAGAAGGTTTAGGATGATCACAAAATCGTAAACGGTATTGAATTCCAGAACCGCAGGTAGCAGTACATTTTGACCAAATACTCCATTTACTCCAGCCTCCTTTTACTTGAAAATCATAAAAATGCATACCTATAATAGTTATTGATATAAAATAGAATTATTATTTTTGAAATACTTACCTGGACAGCCTGTATTATGTTTAACACATAAAAATGCATTCCAAATTCTGTCCTATAAATTACAAACTATATGTAGTAATTGTTCAAATTCATTAAAGTTATCAAATGATCAACCAACATAATTATTTGTAAACTCTTTTTTTACAGTGTTATAATCACAATAATCTGAAATACATTTATCCAAAATAACACTTTTAATGTTCCTAAAATGTTCCATATAATTAAATTCTTGTGTTCTAAGTGCATTTCCTTCAAAATTTTTGGTGTAATTGTTTATTGTACATCCTAAAATATGACATGTTCTCCATTCATTATTAAACTCACAGAATACTCTACTTGATGTAGTACTGAGGGGCTTTGACATGTAGCCAGTTTCACCACATAAACCCTTGCAATAGGTCCATCTAAAATTTAAAATAAAACATTTTTTTATATAAGTACCAACACATTTTTGTTTATTTTAAGAGAATCACTTAAAAAAAATATGTATATAAATTAGTCAGGTAAGTAGGTACCTATCAACCTATTTTTAAGAACCTACATAGAATAATAAATTGTTAATTGTAAATAGGTACTTATTCCAAGAAATCCAATTTGTCGAATTATATTCTGAATTATCCATTGCGTGAGAATGGTGTTTTTCTAAATGATAAATTAATGATTAGATATATACCTAATATAGTGAATTATTTTTATTGCATAGGTACAAATGTGTACTTACTATCTATAACACAAGTTAATATGATAAAAATCCAGATCATTATTTTCAACCCACCTATTTATAATATGCTAGAAGTATCAAGCTATAATTATTATGAAATATTTTATTTTTTACAAATACATGCAAGTCTCCATGACAATTTTGGCATGTGTATTTCATTGTCAATGGTTGTAATAAAAATAACCCATCTAAAAAACAAGCTGTGATTGTAGGTACCTATTATTATTATTATTATTATTGTTTATTTCTTCAAAAAGATAATGGCCCCCACTGAACAGGTTCGTGTAAGGGCCTATGAGTTCACAATTTATTAGAAAGAAAAAATTAAATAACTTTTTTTTTACAATTTTAGGCTTATCAAACTAACTTGAATATATACAATGTAGGTAACAATAATTAATACATGAAGACTTAATGTGTAATAGAATTTGATAAAATACAAATTCAAGCATATTGATTAAAGATATACAAATATTTAAAATTTAAAATTTGGTTCATTTTGCAGCCAGTTAGTAATTTTGTTTTTAAAGTATTTAACCATATAGTTGTTTTGAAGAAAAATGGTAGTATAATATATATTTTTGGTTCTATATATAATTAAGTAGATTGAGTTTTCTGTGCATTAAGGGAACAGTAATGTTTGATAAGTCTTATGTCATATCCATGATCAATACTAGGTGTTAAGTTATTTTTAATTACATAAATTATTGTTGTCTTATAAAACAATTTGTTTAATGACAGAACATTTAATTCTTTGTTCAGATATTCTGAGTGATACAAATAATTATTTTTTAAAATAATTTTTATTATTCTATTTTGTAATATTTGTAATGGATTTGGTATTGTATCGTAGGCATCTTACTCTCAAAAAAAATAATGGGAACACCATTTAATACAATAATTGTTAATTTTATTTAAATTTAGTGAGAGTAATTAATAACTATTGACTACCTGCTTATTGTAAAAACGTAAAATGTCAATTGTCCATTAGATAAGTAGGTACCATTGATTTTATAATATATACCTATTGTAAAATTAATAGTATTACATTTTACATTTTCCCATAGATACATATTATTATATTATGTACTATGTAGTATGTAGGTACACATTATGATTACACGGCATGTTTGATATTTAAGTACTCCTGATATTTATTACGCAGGCAACCACATTTAGCAAATATTTAACAAGTCATTATTTTTATGTACCTCCGGATAAAATAAAGAAAGGTAGGCTAAGTTTACGTAGCCCATCTTTTCCCACCCAATACGTATCTACGCACTACGCATCGACCGTGGCAGTGGCGGCGCCAGAACTTTTATATCAGGTGGGCCAAGTTCAGACCAATATTTTTCTTAATACCTATGAATCAATCGGGAAATTAATATTATAAAATAATTAAATAGGCATTATATATTTTCTTTAATAATAATTGTTTAGTATTGTACTGATTTCCCCGTTATTCCTACGTTTTTCCGGGTTTTTCACATTTGCCGGGAAAACTGAAAAAATCGAAAAACGACCTTCTTAAAGTAATTTCCCAGTTAGATTTCCTTTCAGAAAAAGCGCTGTCGTAAAATTGAAGCAAAATTGCTGATAGAAAAGTTCGCAGGAAAAAAAAAAGCCGAAATATTTTTCAACTAATACCCACAATTCGTACATTTTCTCGTTTTTCCAATTTGTTGAGAAAACTGTTTGGTGAACCGAAAAAAGACCTCCTCAAGTCCCAAGAAAATATCCATTCAAAAAATGGTCTACATCGTTTATATTGGAGTAAACTTTCTTGTAGAAAAAGTGTTCACATTAAAAAAAAATAAAAAAAATAAACGTCTTTGTAAAACCAATTCATTCTTCGCTACAATCAGAATCTAAATTATAATTATGATCTCTACATTTCTTCGTATTTCTATATATTTAAAAATATGTTATGTAATGTAAAACGAAATTACTTTGTAATCATAGAGGGTGGGTTAGCCGGGGTCCGAGAAGATTTTAGGGTGGGTGGAGCCCATTATTGGACTGTGGTATTGAACGTGTTGATGTTTTTTTTATTATAATAAAAATTGTTTTTGTACAAAATATATTGAAAGAATCTAAAACCGTAAAATAGTGTCAATTTGTTAATTATTGTAAGATTTTTGGTTTTATTTTCATTTTACTTTTTCAGTCATGCTTTTGTAGTTTTAGATTCAAAAAAAGATCGAATAAGCGTAAATATTAAATACCCTAAATAACATTTACATTAATTCAGTTTTAGAAGAACTACAAACATAAAATGAAATGAAGAAAAATTATTTTAATAATACTATTAAAATTATTTTAAATACCAACCGGGTTATACCAACCGATTTTAAAAATAATATCTTAATGTATATCAATACATGTTAAATAATAAATAATAACCACATCATTTATAATTCTTAACGTATCTATGTCGAATATTAACACATTTTGAATATCTCTCCTAGGCACTCTAATATATCCTATTAAAATAAATTAATTCTATGTAAAACAACCAATTTGTATGGGAATTCACCTTAATTGTTTTTCTATGTATTACTTCATTTTTTGTCTTCAGTCGCGTTTTACATTTTGACTGTGATATACCTACCTGATAATGAATTTTTAATTCGAAACCGCGGTCGTATAATACATTTATAAATTCTCCAGGTGACGCATTCATTCATTTTTTTTTTTTTTTATACATACATTTTTTATTTATATATTTATTTACGTGTATTAACCATTATAATAATTTTGATTTTACTTCATTATTTTATTGTTTAACAAAAATGTTGACTACCAACTTAAATAAATGTCACCTCTTGATAATAAAACAAAAAATCTATATATTATGCAACTTGAAAATAATGAACATAATTATCTAATAATTTTTATGTATCTAATAATTGCAACCATTCATTATTTTAAACATTTTTAACTTTTTTGAAAACCCTTTGTTTCGTATTATTTTTTAAAATTAAAAAATCAACATTTTTCATAAGAAATGTATTTTTATATTTAAATATTTTTAAAAATTATATTAAATAAACATTTTTTTATTTTTCATAATTAATTAATGTATTTAAAATTTGAAAATTGTTGTTCTTTTTTACCGATTATCAATTAAAATAATAACATAAAAATTGTAAACAATTGAGATTACATCCATCGATGAAAATAGTCATATTTTGTAATATCTACGTTACAAGCTTACAGCACACGTGAAATCAACATAAATAATAAAGAAATGGATATATGCCATTCCTATAACAGTGTGAAGCGATGTTCCTGGATTGAGGCTAGTTATTCGTCACGCCTCACTTTATGAAACTGTATCTGGCGTAACTGTACCCGTCCCTCTTGAAACAGTGTTGAGGTATGGATAGCCTAGACAACTATGGTAATATTTCTATGGGGTACCCTATCCATATCCTTATTATCTATAGATTCCAGCCGTGACGTCTCAGTGTCCCAAATACAGGATAGATATTATTTATTTTCATAATACGTTTAAATGGAAAATACTGTGAACAAAATATCCACAGATGATATCTATAATATCTAATAGCAGTAACAATAATAGCAATAATATTTTATTTTTGTATAGTAACAGATAACAGTACAAGACAACAGTGGGTAGTTTGTAAGAATAATTAAAAACACCAGTACACAACGGTTTTAGATTAACACTGTAAAATGTACATTCTTAAAAAGGTTACGTAAGTTACTTTGAAAATAACAGTTCTTAAAATTGATAACAGAATACAATCACTGGCATCACTATACCAATGTACGCCGAAATGTTATCATTAGTCACTACACTTCTACACTTTTTAAAACAATTTAGCTTCTTAGTGCATGTCTCAGATCATATACTATATATGATCTAAGGCATATACTACATATGATCTAAGGTATATATGCTTTGGAATAATATTTGATATGAAAAAAAAAAATATATAATTATTACGTCTATCATTTGTATTTCGTACTATTCGTAGATTCAAAAAAAAATATAGAATGAATTGAATATTCCCATATTCATCTACCTATTTTACATTTCTAACTACATTATAAAAATAAATAAACCACTTTAACTTCCATTACATTTTAAAACAAAATGTGGTTTTAGTTAGTATACCTTGTGTTAATTTGTTATTTAGAAATTATATTGGACTTATTCACCTAGATAATAGTACCTAATTTTACAAAATGTCACATGAAATCGATTTAAGTACTATTGAACTCGAATATCTCAAACACCTAACTAAAGAGGTAATATTTTATATAATAATTGATGAATATATTTTTATTTATCCTCTATTATAAGCATTTATTTTAAATTTTAATGTATTATATGTGTATATTTGTTACAGGAACTCATTAATACAATTTTAGAACTGAAAAATCAGAATCTTAATTTAAAGAAGCTCAAAAATCAAATTGAAAAACCTAAAAGAAGTTTTGATTTTACAAAGTATGTACTTAGTATCTACTAAACAACCACATTTTTAAGATTTTTAAATAAACATTGTAAAATATTATTAGATAATTAAATATATATAGTATACTTTTAGAAAATATTTAGTTATTGTTATTTCTACATTGTTCAAAGAATTTATACCAATCATTTTACATTTAAAATTATTTTTTTTCTTAATGGTTTTACTCTACTAATATGGTTAATTAATAAGTCCGTTTTACAAAATTCATTAAATTAATATTTATTTTTATGATATTACTTAAAATAAAAATGTCTTTGGAAGGGGATCAAAATACTACCATGATTACCTGTTGTTAGAGACAACAAACGGGGTTGTGTCAGGTTGACGTCTGGTGTAAAATTTTGTTAAAACAGTATTTGGAGCTATAAACAAAATTTGGGCAAATTTTCTGATATCTGATTTGTACTGGGACAACTGGTGAGATGATCTAGAAAAAATTATCAATAGGCCTATGGGATGGAAAGTAGCACTTTCTAAAGTAGTAAAAAAAATATATAGATTATAGAGTATACATTTTGAAGAACAGGGACAAGATAAATATTGGCAACAAGCGATGAAGTAATAGGTGAGATTGAAATCTTTAAGTACCTAGATTTTTTTAGTCTGGTGGCTTTGGCGAGGATATGAAACAGAGGATTAAGTGTGGTTGGATAAAGTGGAGAGAAGCGTTTGATGATTTATATGACAGGAGGGTGGGTTCAATGAAAGTTAAAGATAAGTTCTATAAGATTGTGGTAAGTCCAGCTATGTTGTATGGGTTGGAGTGTTAAGCTATAGACAGAACAATAGAACAGAGAATGAATGTAGTAGAGATGAGAATGCTTATGTGGTTAAGTGGAGTGATGAGAGAGTATAGGATAAGGAATATTTACATAAGAGGTAACTCAGGTGTAGCTCAGATAATGGACAAAATGAGATAAATCAGAAAATAGACTAAGATGATTTGGGCATGTCACAAGGAGAGACAAATCCGAAGCAGTAAGAATTATAATGGAAATAAATGTAGGATGAAAGAATAGGAGAGGAAAACCAAAAAAGAGGTGGTTGAATGTGAATGAGAAAGATTTAAGGATGGTAGATTTGTGCGACGATAATGCAGTAGATCAGGTAAAATGGAGATTTCAGACAAGGGTGCCTGACCCCAAATAGTTGGGATGGAGACAAAGATCTACTATAAAAATGTATATCTATTTAAAACAATATATGTATCATTTATCTATTAATTTGTTTTGAATTCTATGATATAATTGCATAATGCATACATTTTAAGATTCAGAAAACTATTAACTAGGTGTTTAATTTAAAAATTATTTTAACAGGAAGTAGGTAAATGTGTGTTTTTAAAATTATTTTACCTGATTAGGTAATTAAAATACATTTTGAAACTAATATATATATATAATTTTTTAATTTTTTATAGGTATCGAAAGAGGCATGTAGCCTTTAAATTATTATACCTTGGATGGGATTATCAAGGATTTGCAACACAAGATTGCACTAACAAAACTATTGAATATGAATTATTTAATGCACTAACCACATGTTGTTTAATTGAAAGTCGACAAACATCAAATTATCATCGCTGTGGACGAACTGATAAGGGTGTTAGTTCTTTTAGCCAGGTAAAAATATAATGCAATAATATGTATTTTTTATTTTATTTGTCTACTAGGAAAACAATTGCATTCAAATTATGGCTATAACCGTCAGCCAGAAGCTTACAATTGTCATAAATAATCTTGTTTTAAAACCACTCATAAAAATTGTTTTTATTTATTTTGCAGGTAATTTCTTTGACTGTACGAAGTAATGGCAATGATACCAAAGAATTGCCCTACTGTAAAATGCTCAATAGATTATTACCAAAGGATATAAGGATAATAGCCTGGAGTCCAGTAAATGAAGATTTCAGTGCACGGTTTAATTGTGGGTCTAGAACATATAAGTATTGGTTTCCTCGTGGTAACCTTGATATTGATGTAAGTATACTATGTATACCTTTTGTATGTTGCAACAAGTAATATAACTATTTTATTTGTAGTTAATGAATGAAGCATTACAGCAAGTAGTTGGAACTCATGATTTTCGTAATTTTTGTAAGATGGATGTTGGAAATGGTGTCGTACAATATTTTAGAAGGATTATAAGTGCTAATGTTAAAATATGCTTTGAAAATAATCAATTCTTGATCAATAGAGCTTATGACATGTGTGAACTTACTATTGTGGGCAAAGCATTTCTTTGGCATCAAATTCGGTGTATAGTTTCAATACTTATATTAGTTGGAGAACATAAAGAAAATATAAATATTTTTAGAGAATTATTGAACGTTGAAGATTGTCCTAGGTACCATATCAAGTGTTTAATGATTAAATTCATATAATCAGTATTTGTATTTTAGAAAACCTCAATATTCATTATCCAGTTATTTACCACTGAATTTATTTGATTGCCAATTTGAAAATGTTAACTGGATTATTGAAAATGAATCTTTATCAGAAGTTGTTTCGAGTCTTCAGTGTTCATGGGCTACACATTCAATAAAGTATTTTTTTTTTATCATATTGAAAATTTATTCCTTAAACTTTTAAATTAATTTTGAATTAATATTCAATTTTCAAAGAGCAACTTATAACTTTAAATACATTTTTCAAGACAGAATAGTTTTCTACAAATATTTATAAACTAAAGGGCAATCCAACAGTTTATGATTTATTAACATTTAAAGTTTAGATAAGAGATTTAGAGTGACAATGAATTCTAAATATTAATAAGTTATAAACTGTTGATTCAATCTTTATAAATTAACATGTTCAACAAATTATTCTATATTGGACAGTTACGAAATACTTGTGCCACATGAAAGGTATACAATAATTTATAAAATGTATGTCCAAATGAGAAATATATCAAATACTTATAGGTTTGATTTTTTAAAAAAAAAGGCTTTTCTTCTATTCATTATCTCTGTTCAAGGTTTACTGCACAAATATATCTGTATGTAATATAAGGAATGATATTGAGGGCAAATTTATATCAATCATCTACTTCCATAAACAAATTCCTAGAAAAAAAAATGTCCATAAAAAACCCTCAGGAAAAAATCCCCAAAGCAACTATACTGTTAAAAATATGTTTAAAAAAAAAATTAAATATAGTATAACCAGTCAATGGTTAGATTATTACTAACTGTAATACCTATATAATAATAATGACAGATACCAAATATCTATGTTTAAATCATTTTTATTTTATATGTTTTAAATTATTTTTTCAATTCCACAATCTATCGTTCTAAATAATTGATTTTAGAATATATATATAGCCAATGACGCCATGGCAAAGGGATATTTGGTAACTAAAATTTTAGTTATGTGGGCTTCCCTTGAGAGAGTTGCAGTTATATTCAACAAATTATTTTTCTGGAAAATTAGTTGTTTCGTTTGTAATCTATAGACTAAAATACTACTGGGCCAATAGTCTGCGTTGTTAGGACAACGTTTAAAGCTATCGTACTAACATCCCCCCAAAACTAGATTATTTTACTTTACATTATTTAAAGCCATATTGTTTTTATATAATTCGTATTCATTGAACATTGAACTGATGGATACAATTTTATCGGAAGTATTGTCTTCTTCAGGTTGGTTAATTTTGATATAATTCAATCCACTAATTACATCAAACTCAATTAATTGTGTGACCATTATGATCGGATATACAAATTTTAGTACAATAAAGATAAAATTTTGAAACAACGATTACTTGTCATAATTAATAAAATATAGTGAAATATATATAACTAAAAATAATTGTCATAACAAAAGAATGAGAAAATTAGTATTATCGGTTTTTATAAATATAACACTTATTATAGATAAAATATTTTCCAACATAACTAAAAATAACTATCATAACATAAATATAGTCATTATGCATTTATATATAATAATTGATACAAATTAGTACATACAATATAAGAGTTTTGCCGGGATCTTTAATCCCTTCACTGCCCTTACATAATATCCAGTTTGTCATTGTAACCGGTGTCATTACTAACAGTTTGTAATGTATATAATATAATATAAGTAATTCTTAAAATAAGACATATTTTCACAAAATATTATGCATATATTTTATATTTTATCTTACAATTTTATTGAGTTTTATAATGATTCATGCTTTAAACCAATTGTCATTTAACAATAATTTTTGCTTCATTTAGTAATAAAAAGCACAGGCTTAAATCAACAGATTATATTTATATCTGTGTAAACATCTTCTGTATCTTGAATTTACCACAAGAACAATGACCTTAATTTACTGTTTAATTATTTATTTTAAAATTTAAAATAATCATAATTTAATATTTTAAATGTTATGCAATTCCATTTTTATTATTTTCTGGAAAATATTTTCTCCTAAATGTTATTATAATTATAATTGTGCACCTATATTATAAAGTTAGTGGATGGAACTTTTTATACTTTTTTTCTTAACAAAAACAATTTATGTAAATCAGTTGTAGATACATAGTTAGGATATTTCTTTAGACTGTAGTCTTTTGATTCTTAACATGATAACTTTTAGGGTATAATGATTTGTTTATAATATAAATAATAAAACAAGATAAAGTGTATTATTAAAAAAATGATGTTTATTCAAATAATTTACAGAGCTACAATGTTGGGAGAAATGTTAAAAAATACAGAAACGTTAGCTGTAAACAAAATTAACAATCAAAGCAACTGGCTAATAGAAGGTGTTACATCTAAAATTTATCAACCACTTCTAAAGAGACCTGCTAGTGGTAATACAAAATATATATATATATATATGTGTACTTAATATAATTTATTTAAAAACAGTACTATGAAATAATTTTCTTACAACTTTGCACTTAACATTATCAGTCAACTTTTAGTATGTACTCAGCCAATGTCTGTACAGGAACTATTTAATTTTAAATATAATTATTATAAAAAAACAAAATTATTATACTTTTATATTTAGAAACAGTTTTTATTTTTTATTGAGCTTTAAATTACCCAAATGTATGTGTAAATATTATTAAAATATAAACATCAATGTTTAATTGGTTAATAATGATATGTTTAGTGTAAAGGATTGAAAATTTATATTTTATAAATGTTCTCTAATTATCATAGATATTACAATATGTTTATTTCATTGAATGGGCATTCTTATAAAGTATTTTTGATTATATATTTTTTATTTTTCAGCAAGTCTAGAGAATCGTATTGAACACTACAAAAAGAAAGGAAAGCTCAAATTAGAAAGCAAATAACATTTTTAACTTATGTGATACTTTTAAATATAATATTATCATCTATTTTTTTTTTATAGACCCAAATCTATACCTGTACCTATGCAATCCATACAAAATAATACAATGACAGACATGTAATAAAGCACTGCTAAATGCAGTAGCTGGAAATGTGTTCCAACAGATTTCAATAAGGCCCAGTACAATTAATCTAAATATATTTCCATAAGGGGTAGACCATAATAAAAACGGCAATGTATGGTAATACCAAACATAAAATTGATAATGTAGTGAGCGGCTGAACATTATTCCAATAAAATTAGCTGAAAACATAGGTATTAAAAATAAATTTGCACTGATATCCATATTGATGTGGATTTTCTTCTTCTTTAGTTGTGGCTTTAAATCGTGTTCAATTTGTTTCATTCTGGCATAAGAGTTCAAAAATTTTATCCATGTGGCAGTGAACCATAACAATACTGTTAGATGTATGGCTAGTAAAAGTATATGGAAATATCCACTTACAAATATGTTAGATGGGACAAATTTCCAATTTACAGACCATTTATATAAAAATACTCTGGATAAGTCGAAAGCTCCTCGTAAATAGTTTATGGGGTTATTAATTAGAAATGGCAATCCTAATAATAACTGTACCAGAGCACAATAAGTAATATGTTTAATTGTTCCTCGAATGCCAAATTTTGTAAGATATGCTATCAAAAGTGCTGGAGAATACAGTAAGATATTCATTTTAATAGAAACAGCCAAACTGTAAATAATACTACCAATAGTCCATTTGTTTTTAAGAAACATGTGTATAGACAAGTAAAGCAATATTACAGCAATTGGATCATTAAATAGGCGCAGAACATAAATTGAATGGATACGATAAGATGAAAAACATTGTAATAGCATAACACAAGGTGGAACTTTTTTACTGCGTTCATGTATTTTGAATACTAAATATATATTTACCAAATACAACAACATAAATATATATTGGCCAGTTTTAATATTCTTTCCATATTCAGTTAAATAGTACAGCACAGAAAATACATAAACAAATCCAGCAGGGTACACCAAAGGTCCGGTATCTCCTTTGAGTTTACTATAATCAAATGTACCATTTACCAAGACGCCTTCCACTTCTTGCATATATGCCTTCCAGTCGATTTCCGTGTAATTCACAGTTTGTATGATGTATATATTTAGTAACAGTTCGATGGTAATGACAATCCATTTGATTAATGATGTATATGAAGGATCAAATAAGTATTGCTTGATTTTATCAAGAGATCCATAAGTTTTAATCTTTTTTGTACATTTCTTCCACATTTTAAAATATTTCACAATTTACATTAATTAAAAGAGTTCTCCAGAAGATGACAATTGATAATATGTCTTTTTATAATTTCCTATTACTATTTACTACTAAATTTCATGTTCTCACAATAATTCAAGTAATCTTAAGCCGTGTTCTCACGTGTCAACTAATAATTTGATAAGTACTATCACAATCGAACTTCATAGATAATCCATATTTAGGCATGACTCATATAATGTAGATGTGTTATAGGTAGTCAATTATGTCCTATGTAAAACTTCAGTGTCATACTTTGGGTGACACGTAATGCTAGTGTTTGCTAGTTTATGTTTTAAGAATAAAAATAATAGGATTCTCTATAGACTTTAACTTTTAGGCTGAACTTAGATAAACCACATATAAATGGTTATGTGGACGTATGTAGACATGTCATGGTTTTGATGACTGTTGTCAGCGATATCTATGAGTATTATCAAATATATTTTGTTAGTATTATAATGTTCAAACTATTTTTTTTGTAAGAACAGTATGGAACATGAAAATTATATCTTTAATCATGGTATGAAGATATGTTAGTTCCTCGTTCAGGGGCCGAATAATTAAAATTATTTCTATATTCTATGTAAAACGATCAATTTGTATAATTTTTTTTTCCTTGTATTACTTCATTTAATTTTTTATATTTTGACTGTGATATACCTGACGAATTTTTAATTTGAAACTGTTCGTATAATACACTTATTATAATACTCTAGGCGACGCATTTATTTATTTATTTTCATACAAACATTTTTTATTTGTATATTTGTTTAATAATAATGAATTGATGAATGATGATGTAGATTTTAACGAAGAGAATGACGAAAAATAAATCAACAAAAAAAAGTGTATGAACATGAACGTAATGGTTTTTTTTTTTTTTTGGCGCGAAGGAGAACATTGCCACAGTTTTATCAGTTATATTGCAGACGTTCTTTTCCATGAAGAACGGGGAACGATAAATGCATATCAAAATCAAATAATATTGGAGTGTCCATAACCGTCGTAACGGTCATTAGACTGTGTTGCATACACTGGTTTTAGTAATCTGATTTCCATTGCTATTTGCTTTAAAAATTGTACGAAGGCGAATGCGCGTTGATCGTTCGTTGGCGCTCAAATCGTTGTTTTCTTTTGTTTATGTATTGTGCGAAGTATCTTATTATTTCGTGTCGCGTGAAAGTCTCAATATTAAAAGTACTTTTTCCATAGTTCGTATGTTAATCATCCCATCGGCATTTTTGCAATGCTGAGATTGGACGCTAGTATTTAAAATCCCTGAGCGGTGATCGTTATTATTTTCATTCGATTATTTAAAACAGCGGATTATACGACGGTAAGTCTACCAAACATTCGCCGAATGAAATTTATTAATCACGAGCACAAGTATAACCCATGAAACACCCACAAGGCTCTTTAATGGGATTAAAAGCTATGATTAGTGTATTACATATTTACAACATGGTAATTTAGAATACTACACGCGTCTAAATTTGCCTATTGCAAATTTGTTAGATGAGTCGGAAAATTATCACTTTCAATCCCCTTAAGAATGCTTGTGTAGTTTTTGATGAAATGGCCCAGTCACCAGGCCTCTATATGAGCTTGTAGTATTAAATTCCATTTAAATGAAAGGTTTTAACCGTTTAGTGAAAAACGATCATAGTTAATATTCCCAACCTTTCCTATTGCAGTTTTAAAGTTTCAAAACTCAGAAGTAAAGTATAAATATCGAAAGTAAACAATATTTTTATTTTAAAACTGTTATTTGATAAGTTCAATAGTGACATAATAATTATAAATAAAAACCTTAAACATAGACAGATCACTTTTTCCTGTTTTCACTGAGACTATTAATACATAGTCTCGGCTTACAGATTCAAAATAAATTTGTTTTTTTATAATTAAAATTTGTTCAGGAACAAATCACTAGATATCAGGCGATCAATTGATTATTAAATCGTTATTCCCCATTATCGTTTTAAAAACTAAGTAGTTACCTGTTATAGGCACGAGTATAGACATGTGTAGACTTTTCGCAAAAATGTGTAGTTTTGAAAAAGCTAAATAGTTGCAGTATAATACTGATCGAACAAATCTAGTTTAACTGACACCTTTTATTTTTCAATTTTTTTTTGAAAATATGTGTTTTGACTCTTATTTTGAAAGTGTTTGAATTTGTTTATAGAAACCATTGTAAAGGAATTTATTTAAGTCAGTCGTTATTACCGTATTAATGGTACTACAACTGTTTTAAACGAATCAAAATCCCCTCGATTTGTTGTGTAAAACCACTACTTTTGGTAGGTGACAGGGAAAAAATTAATTAAGGTAAGCCTCAAAGGCAAAATCAAAATGTTATATCTAGGGCTGTGAATTCTTAGAAAAGTGCATTTTTTTTTTTTTTGGTGATAGAGAAGTGTAGCTTTGTAAGTACATATTTTAAATTATATAATGACAAATAAATTTATGAAACTTTTATTTTGCATTTTCTGATATTTTAAATTTTTTTTGGTCATTTTTTTGCTTTCTTGGGTCATAATTTCCTTTTTAGTTCATTTTCGGGTAATTTTAATCAAATATTGTCTAGGCCTTTGAAATCTTGAAATTTTCTTGCAATTTTCGCTGGTAGGTTCTTATTATAGAAGTTAAGAGAAGGAGTACCAATACAGAACATTGAGGAAAGTCATTGTTTAGCATCTTTATTTTACTTTTTTTCACTCTAATATAAACCGTAAAAAATCTGGTACTAAGCATATTATTGAGGAGTTTTAGTAACTTTTTGTATGGAATCACATTCAAGAATTTAGATAAAAGCCCTTTTCTTCAGTGTCTTAGGCAGATGATAGGTCTATGAACGTCACTGCAATTTTATTGTTTCTGTCATACCCAGTTTCTTTATGGGTAGTAAGTGCCATTATTTGGTCACAGCAACTCTTATTTGGACGGAATCCAGCAACTGTTCATGAGGAATAAAATCATTAATAGTAACTAGCAATGCATTTTTAAATCAATCTTTCCAGTAATTTGTAGGATACACTTAATAGAAATATCAGTCTATAGCTGTTTACATCATTTTTTGGTTTCCCTGGCTTAAAGGCTACTAACATTTTTGTTTGTTTAAAGCGTTTTGGTAATTTTCCTGAGTGAAGGATGTCTGAGAAAAAGTGAGAGCCATTTTATTGTCCTGGGTTCATTATATTATATGATCTCCAGATATAAATTTTATCAATTTCAACTGCTTTTTTAAGCTTTACATGTTTTAATGCTAGTCGTACTTCTTTGAGACCAAATTTTTTAGCCCACTTTGAATTTTCTTTATTTTAAGATCTATACCCAATTTTCTTGATGTTTCTTTATCAATCTTGGCTCTTGACATTTCTATTAGTCAATTTGTAAATGCATTAAGTTTTATTTCAGATTCTCCACTATCTTGATTCTGACTAAGATCTAATCTGCATAGTACATTCTAAGCTTTCCGACTAGTGTTTGAAATCTAGACTTTCTACAGTTTCAATTCATCAGTCCTTTTGTCCTTTAGCCAGCGTTAAGAGTGTGTTCGCAGTTACTACTTGGCCATTCTTTTGTTATTCTGTATAAAGTTTATCGCTTTTCTCATTCCAGCAGGGAATATATTTATGTCTGTAGCCTTGGGAGATATAATGTTTTACTGTTTCCTTAACCATACCATTGAACCGTTCATAGTTATTCACTTTTGAATCAATCCACCTAATGTTATTTAAGGATTTTGAGAAAGCATTACAATTAACTTTCCTAAAGTAATATATCACATACAGAGATAGATGTGTGTTAACATACAAAAAAGTGTATATATTTTTCAAGCTAGGTAGATATCAAATTTTAAGCGCTACGGTCAAATGTGACAAAATATTTGATTAACATCTAGGTATTTAAGCCAAAATGTAATACCATCGAATTTCAAACTTCTTTTATACTGGTAATAATCTGCAAACAAATTCAAAATCAGTCAAAAAGAAAAAAATAATAAAAGGTGCCCAGTAAACTAGATTTATACCATACTTATAATTAACTTACCATAACTCTTAATACATTGTATAAATAACCTGCTTATAGATAATATTAAATAAAAGAAATGTACATACACATAGTTTTAAATTTTATTCATAAATAATGATAAAAAATTAATTGAGGTTAGCTACCTTGGTCTTGAATATCATATGAATAATGACATCTCAAAATGGCATTTATCAATTCAATTACTCAGACAATTACTTATATAGTTATGTCATTTAGTAATATAATACTTAGTATGTTTCTGGTTTTTACCAAGCATCATGTGTATAATATGCTAATCAGTCGTAAATATATAACTACAATTTAAATTACCTCTGCTTATCTTACTATATATTTTGGTATTCCCAGTTTGTATGAAGTTAGTGTATTTCAAGTACCAAATGATAAATCTGATTTCCATTTCCCTGTCTTTTTATCTTTTATTGAATCCTGAACTTCTCTCTTTCTCTATAGTTTTTCAATCTGGTTTGCAGCCAATTTTCACTTTTCTCTTCTATCTTTTTCATTTGCACATATGAATAGTATCTTTAATCTTTTACTAGCTGTTTGATATAGTTTAATCTTGGCCTTGTTCTATAATTCTTTCCTTCCTCGCTTCCTTCTATAATTAGTTTTAGTAATCTTTCATGCCCAATTGTATGTCCTATCTATTCATTCTGTCTTAACTATACTTTCCCGCAATAGCTTTCCTTCCAAAATTTTTATAAGAACCTCCTTATTAGTTATTCTGTCTATCCAATTTATTTTCAACATCCTCCTATAACCCCTCATTTTGAATCTTCTAATATTTTTACTTTTCCCTTGATATTATTCCAGTCTTACACCCACACAAGGCTATACTCCATACATCCTGAATATTATGTGTTTTTTTTTATAACGTAGGGTTATTAATTTTGGGCTGTACTTTAGTCCTAATTTAGAGAACTAGTTCACACCAATCAAGGCTATTGTAGTGGACCTACCTATTGCATAGATAAATTCTCCTAGGTCAACATAATATATTTCCTACGCCAACAAAAATTATAATTACCTCTGCCAAGCATACTAAATCTTATAATCCAATATTTATTTTATAATTATTCAGCTATGGACAACAATGAATCAAGTGAAACAAAACCTTATTATGGTTTTATTTTGGTAAAAAAAAGTAATGGAACTGTTTGTGGATCATTTCCGGTTACTAAAAAAGAAATTACCTTTGGTCGTGATAAGAGTTGTGATATAAGGATTTATTTACCAAATGTTTCAGCTCAACATTGTAGTATTTTTTATATTAACAATAAGGTAAACATTAAAATTTTGTATTTTATGCTATTACTTTATTATGTTCATTTTTTTTTTTTTAATATTCAAGGCCTATATCCGTGATACAAGTACATGTGCTTCGACCACAGTCAATGGGAAGAAAATTGGTAAGAGTAATTTTTTTTTGCATCAATCTGATGAAATTGAAATTTGTAACAGAAAATTTTTATGGGAATATTTTAAATCACAAAGGTAAGTTGTGTAGAAAATATTTCTTATTTTAATTTTATAATAATATATTGTTATAATCGTCTTTTATTTTAGTGAAATTCTAACAGAAAATAAACATGGATTAAAAAATGACCATACATCACCAAGAATATCACGCCGTGTTTCAAACTTGGTATGTTTTCTTCTTTATTTTATACTATAGTACGGCTAGTAAAACTAAAAGTATGACCATTTCGCGTATGGTGGCCTTTTACGTAAAGTCCAGGGGTTCTAAATATTCCAATGTTCATGTGCGCCATGTCACACTTATAGCTGATATAGCTATATTTCAGTTGCTATAGGAAAAACTTTGAGTATCCTTAATAAATGTACTTTATATAGATATATATATATATTATAAACAATATGTATAATGTGATTATAAGGATAACTAACCAGTCATAGAAACCCTAATGAAAATTGACCACTATGCGCGCGGTGGTCACGCTTTTATTTTCCCTGGCTGTTTTATAGCTGAGCTGGCAATGCTTTGCTATTGCTAGATAATAGTGTAAATAAGAGTACTACTACTAATAAATAATAATAATAGTTTTTTTATCCATGACAATCAAATTATCATCCATATCACCATGGTAACCCTTGAATAAACAAAAATAAACAAGTAGATATTTGTACCAAAAATAAATTTAAAAAAAAACCCAGTTTTACTCCTTAGGGGTTAAATTTTCAAAAATTCTTTCTTAGCTGATGTTTATATCATAATATTAAGCTGTATGCCAATTTTCAGCCAGATCCGTCCAGTGATTTGATGCGATGATGAATTTGTTGTTCAGTCAAGACATGTTATTTTATATACTTAGATTGATAAAATTGTCCCATCATGATTTTACCAGTCAATAACAATAACAATAACAATAATGATAAATATGCTCGTATTGATTATTACAATACACATTTTTTATAAGTAATAATGAGTACTATAAACAAACATGTTATACATTATTCAGTTATTATTTTTGATATATTCTGTTACATTATTGCAATTTTGGTAGGGATCTCTAATTTTTTTGAAAATAAAATATAGCCTATGCTACTCACTGATAATGTAGCTATGAAAGAAGTTTTAAAATTGGTTAAGTAGTTTTTGAGCTTATCCATTACAAACAAACATATAAACAAATGTTTTTTTAATAATATTAGTTTAGATTTTGTATTTTACATTCGTAAAATTAATGCATGTCCTATTGAGTAGTCATAGTATATATTTTCCGATATAATTTTATTATTATAGCTAATCTATATGTATACCATTATATATTTATTTTATGTTCATATGTTTAGTGTAATCTTAAAGGATCAGTGACTCCATCAAAGAATATCAAGAAAACTCCTTCAAAAATATTTATAAGCTTGAACAAAACACCAATGTAAGTATTCAATAAAATAAAAATAATAATAATAATAATAATAATAGGTATTAATCAAATATATTATGTTATATGATTTAAAATAAAACTAAGTTATAAGCAGTGGTGGCTCGTGCAATGGTGCAATCGCACTCCCTATGTATATTTTAAATATAATAAAATTTACAATTGTCAATTATATTTATTATAGTAAATGGTATTCATTATAGTGTGTATTTTTATTAAACTAATAAAAATGATTTTATATTGCAATGGAAAATAAATAGAACAATATGGCAATTCCAGCCTTATAAAAATTAAATACAGGTTGAGTAACCAATATCATGTAGTGCCGCAGGTCGTATCTTTGTATATAATGTGGTATACAAAAACAAAACAGTTTTCAGTGGATGTTATAAAGTAATATTGAGAATGGTGTGGCAGGACCATTACTATTGGTCAATATGCATGAGGTAATTCTCGTTTCACACAACGCAACAAGTTTAGTATTATTTACATCTATTTATAGTTAAAGAAATTCTAACTGACAATGACTGTAGAGTACTTTATTATAATCTTTGATAAAATGAGAATTATTTATTTTGATGAGTACTTTGTAAACAAGTATATATTAAATTATTATTACTATTTTTATTATTGGTCAGTGGGGCATCAAAGTAATTTTTTATATGTGAGGTAAAGCATAGACAAAGTATTTAATCACCTATGGTAGGTGAGACCACTGCCCTTTTAAAGCAATTTTACAGCACTACCATACCAAATTACCACGAGCCATGGGTAGGATTATAAGATATTTGAACTATTCAAAAATATTAAATAATAATATAAATATGTAAAAAAATAACAAAACCACATGTATTTTAACATTTTATTTTAAATCATATAATATGTATTTTTTTTTTATATAGAGAAACAATAATTTTTTACTAAATATATTTTTTTTTTTACAATATCTAGTGTAGAAGCTGATGCACATATGCCAATTTCTTTCTATGATAAATTAAAAATTCGTTTAAATACATCAAAATCAAGTATGTAAATTATATTTTTTAAATTTATTAATTACTTATTTATTTATTACTTATTTTAAAATTTGAATAGATTTTAAATATATTTTCGATTATAAAATCATAATTATTTTGTAAAGTAAATATTATTTCATAGTTCTGATATTCAATCTATATAATATTTAGAATCAATAATTGATAAGATATGTGTATTTCATTTATGTACTGAGCATAATTCCTATTTAAGTAAAAAGAGAAATATCAAAATCATAAAGTCTTCTATACTTTTACAATATATTGATTTTCTTCCATGAATTACTGCATATTATCATGGTATAATGAAGTTTGATAGTATACTTTGTGTGAGTGAAACAGAAAATTCAGGAACAACTGATAACTTCTATAGCTTATCTTTTGTTTATTATTTATGCATAAGAGTACCTATTTCCTTATTTTTTTAAATTTAAGTTATTTACTTATAAATAATAATTAATGATTTTTATTTTATTTCAGCAGCAAATCCTCAATCTGATAACGTATTAATACAGTCTAATTCTTTGGTTCCTGGTGTTAATATACCATTGCCATTGGTAAGAAACCACTTTCATTAAAACTTACAGCTTATTTTTAAATCTTTACTTTGTTGATGAAATTGAATTTTTTTTTTCCTGAAATATTAGTCTGTATGTCTATCTTTTCTAATCTTTAAATATATTAAAATATATTTTTTTATTAATATTTTGATATTGGATTCTGAGTGCAAAAAAGATGCTATATATTTTACTAAGATGATTTTGTTATTTTTAGAAAACACTATTAGTAAAAGTGCTCCTAATTAATTTAATTACTCCATATCTAAAAAGATGCAAATTTTTCCACTAGGTATATTTTACTACTGCATAATTGAAGTGTTTGAAATATTGAAATATTGACTGCTACATGCTGTTTACATTCAAAACTACAAGTTTTTCTTCTAGTTTATTATAGTGGTTTATGATAACAATAGAATTGATCCTTTAATAGTACTTATTTTAAATTATTTCTAGATACCCAAACGTATTTCAAAAAAACTCAACAAAAATCTATTGATTTTATTTTTGTGTTATTTGATTGAGGTACTAGGGGAAAAACTGAAGTAATTATTACGAGTTCACCAAACTTCACTTTGATTCATTGTTGGTCCTATTTTTGACAATTTTTCTCTGAAATTAGTGACAATTGCTATGTATTGTACCATGAATATGTTTCATTTTCTAGCCTTAAAGTCCATTTTGTAAAATTCTTCATCTTAATCTTCAGTTAATTCCTTTAAGTTAATTTTTGTGTTAACAACTTACAAATTCCTTCTCACAAAATTTTCCATTTTAAGCAAGACCCCCACCTATTGATCTTTTCTTACAATTATTATGTGCATGTATAATAATATATTATTTCCTATTTATTTTCTCTCAGCAGTTTGCTCTGAACCAAATGAATTCAAACTCTGTAGGTTTTTTTTTTAGGTGGATTAAAGTATTAAAAGTTCAGTCAAATTTAAGTATAAATTTCACCGTGTTAAGGATAGAGTGTGTTTCGTAGCTATCAACACCCTTATAGATCAAATGAAGCCAGGGGTGGCATTTTTAAAATTCATTGTGTTAGTATCAATGATGTGTCTTGCGGATTTTAACTATGAAACATCAACCCATATTGCTACTAGTATGATGCTCAAATTTCAAAAAAAATGTTTATTTATTAAATTATTATTTACAGTTTATACATTGTTTATGCTCTTAACTTTAAGCGTCTAAGTACATTAATTTCAAACTTGTATCTTTGATGTCAGTGGCTATGTAGTAATTATTTTTAAACTGTAAAATTGAATTGAATGAAGATCTTTTAGATTCTGAGTGGAATTATTATTTTTACTATAATGAGTGTTATTTTTTCTGTCTGTAAATAGTAAACATGATTTTGACCAAAACAACTTTTAATTAAAAATTGCATAGTAGTTATTTTTTAGTATTTTGAATATATCTTTTGTATCAGAAATGTTATTATTTTATATTTATTGAATATCTAAAGAAAAACTGAAATTTATAGGTTACAATTGTTTTTTTTTTTATTAATATAATTTGTTAAATAATAAGTAATCATCTAAAATTATTAGTATGTATTATTTTTAGAATTTTTTATATGTGATATTTTTTAGTTATATTAAGTATATATATAGCTTCATTTTGATATTTTTAATAAAATACATTTGGTTCTATATAATATAATGTTTTTAGAGGTAAGGAAAAAAAATAGGCTGAAAATGATTTCTCTATAAGTATTTAAATTACAAATTTGCATGGTGCTAAATATATCATATTTTTGAATAATATTGACATTACATCAATAGATTTCTGTTTTAGGTTGGCAAATCTAATTTTACACCAAGAAAATCATGGAATGCATTTGACAATATATCAACAAATTCAACACATATTATGAATGAACTATCTAATAAAAGGTTGAATATGGAGTCTACACCAGAGTATAATTGTAGTTATCATTATGAAGATGAAAATGTAGAATTTGATTCTCCAGCAAACTCTATTATGTTAAATGATGAACATTTAGTTGATACAAATACTACTGTTGTAGAAACAAATAACTTGTCTAACCCTTCAGAATTCGTCAATAATCAAGTTGATGATAATTTACAATCTAGTAGTGTACAATTTAATAATGTATTACCAGTTTCTGTACCTGAACCTAGCTCATCAAGAAGAGATACGTATTCTATTGATAATCAATCTAATGTGGCAGAAACAAATACAACACCAGTCCCAAGACGCTCTATTTTGAAGTGTTCAACAACTGCTAAACGAATAAAGTCGAACAGTCGAATGGTTCAGTTTGCACGTTTGCCAAATACTGATAGCAGAATTAAATGTTCTAAAAATCGGTTTCAATCAGGATCTAGCTTTACTGATACTAATGATAAAATAAATAAAAATGATCTTTCTCGTGATTCTAAAAACTTAGCATATAGTGATATGGAAGAATATGATGATGATTTAGATGGTGTGCAACCATTAGATAGTAGTGTTTCTTCTCTGATTAATTCACCTATTCTAGACAATTTTAATGTGTCTAAATCATCAACTCGAAGATCAAGAGGTAACAAAGTGATTAATCTTATTAATTCCTTTGAAAAACGTACCAATGAATCACCCAAGCATAGCATACGCGCATCAGACTTACTTAGTATGAGTGCAAACACTGTGCATAATAATTCCCAAAACAATGCAATGCAAGAATCAATTTCTTCTGCCAGGAGAGTTAATTTGGAAGATGTATTTCAATCTGAAGATTCTTTAAAAAATGACTTTGTAAATCAAACAAAAATTCATGAAGTTAATAAAAGTTTAAATTCTGAAAATAATGTGTTTAATAAAACAAATACTGATGAAGTATTAAACGATGTTTTGGATAAAGATAAATCTAATAATACTATAGAAGATGAATACCATTTTGCTTCACCTTTAAAGTATCCTCTAGTAAACTCTATCACACTTACAGAACATGATGATTTGTCATCATCAACTCTAAATTGTACTAAAAAGGATAAAAATATTTCTGAAGCAATTAATATAAGTGAAACAGATACTAGTAAATTTAATCTATCTCATAACATTGAAGTAGATAGTGAAACTTCTATTAACAAACATTTAATAATTTCTGACAAAGTTGATGATATTAAATGTTCTTTATCAACTTCTGAAATAAATGCTAAACAAAAAAAAGATATTAATAAAGTTCAAAATTGTTCTAAAACTTTTATGCAATTAAAAGATACAGATAGAGATGTATCCCCCGATAAAGTTGAAATATCAAACAACTTAAAAGTTTTAGAAAATGACCATACAAACACACCCATTGTTTCAAAACTTATTGAAAAGTCTACAGATGTAGAAAAAGGTGATTTAAATATAAAAAATTGTGTCCCGGCTATACCAAATATATTAGAATCAATTAATACAAATGAAGATTGTATAAATGTGACAAATAATGGTGCACGTGAAGACAAAGGAAATGTAAACAATGATGCTATAGAATCGATTTTAGAAGGTAATCATGTAATCATACAAAATGATTTAAAATTGGTTGATGTGCATAAAGTTGACAAACAATTGGTTAATGTTACAGATGATACACACATTTGTACTATAGAATTGATTGATATTACAGATGATGATGATGATGATGATATACAATCAGTTAGTGGTTCAAATGAAGACAAAACACAAAAAAATGATTTGCAATCAGTTGATGGTTCACACAAGGACTGTGTAAATGTACAAAATAATGATTTAGAATCAATCGATGTACATGGAAATGACATACAAAATGATAGTTTATCAGTTAATGGTTTAGGAAAAGAAAGCGTTAACATAAAAAATAATATTTCTAAATCACTTAATGTTACAGATGATACACAAACTTGTCCTATAGAATTGATTGATATTACAGATGATGATGATGATGATGATATACAATCAGTTAGTGGTTCAAATGAAGACAAAACACAAAAAAATGATTTGCAATCAGTTGATGGTTCACACAAGGACTGTGTAAATGTACAAAACAATAATTTAGAATTAATTGATGTACATGAAAATGGCATACTAAATAATGTTTCAGAATCAGGTGATATACATATAAATGACATGAAAGTTCAAACTAATACTATAGTATACGAGGATGATATAAAACAAAATAATGATTTAGAATCTGTCCATGTACAAAAAGAAAACATACAAAATAATGATTTAGAATCTGTTCATGTACCAAAAGAAAACCTACAAAATAATGATTTAGAATCGGTCCATGTACAAAAAGAAAACATACAAAATAATGATTTAGAATTGGTTCATGTACCAAAAGAAAACCTACAAAATAATGATTTAGAATCGGTTCATGTACCAAAAGAAAACCTACAAAATGATGTACAATCAGTTAGTTTGTCAGATGAAAAAACCATAAACATACTAAATACCGATTTAAAACCTCTTGAAAATGCTAAAGATATAAAAAAATATCGCTTAGGTAAACTAGATGATTTAATATTTACTGAAGAAGTTAGTGATGAAGGATCTCCATCGCTGGTAGTTCGTTGTATGTCTAAAATGTACCATCCCAATATTGATCATCATGAAGTCACTTATTCTGCGCGCAAAAATAATTTATTAGTTATCAATGGTGATATTAAGGAATGTGCAAATAAAAATCAAATCAAAAATATTGACAAATTGAATAAAAGTAATATAACATGTAAGCAAAATAGTACGTCCCCTGAAAATTTAAATGATAGCATGATGAATTCTATTGAGATAGAACTTAGAAAAATTCATTCTGATGGTAATGAGGATGAAACTAATATTGCCAATTCAATGAGTAACGCAAACAATACAAGATCAAAAAGTCCCTTAAATACACTTGTTGATGACCTCAGTGATTCAACATCAATTACAACATTAGCCACGGAAATTATTGTTGGTAGTAATTTTTCAAGTAATGTTGTTGATTTACCCACAAAAAATAATTCCCAAGATTCAAAACAAAATAAGTCTGAGAAATATGCTAACAATGAATTAAATATTATTACTATACCTAAAAATGAACTTGTTTATTTAACTAGAAAAGTCGTGGATGAAGAAAATACTGTATCTTCAGGTAATAACAGTAATATTGAAGAAATAGATGAAACCATAGAAAAAAAAGTTCAAGGATATTTTGAAAATACATTGAATACATCCATTGGTAAACCTAAGTATGAATCTACTCCTTGGAATTGTCCTAAAAATTCTAAAGCGGATTATAATTCTACAAGTGTTCAACCAAATGATGTAGCTGATGCTTTTGATGATAAATGTAGACAAAGGAAGAATAGTAATAGTAGTAATAGTAGTTGTAGTTCAAGTTATTCCATGCCCGAGCCTGAAGTATGGGCACAAATGTTAAGAGACTTCAATGAGTCTGTTAGAAAGGCATCAATTACCGATTATAAGGTAACAATTCCCAAAAGTACCAGTAGAGTTTTGTTTGCTGGAAAATCAATAACATGTAAAGATGACATCATAATTAACAACAGCACAAATATCAAAAATAGTAATATATTAAAAACAGAAAAACAAAATACTTTACAGTGTTCAACAATATCATCATGTTCACCAAATAAAACTCTTGAAATTTCAAATAAATATACTTGTGGCAGTCGATATACCAAGAATAAAAACAAATTACAAAATATTACTGGAGGTGATAACTGTTCCTTTAATAGGATTGATTCAAATTGTTCTAATGATAATAAGCAACTTGAAACAAAAACTAGAAATTCTGCTGCAATTAAAAGAAAACTATCTGAAATCCCTCAAATTCAAGCAAAGAAAAAGAAGTCCTCATCTTTGCTTAAAGTCAATTCAACAAAATCTAAAAGATTACCAGAAACATCATCTGAATGTGACACTTATTCAAGCTCATCAAAATATCAATCTGTACCTAAAAAGGCTAAAATAATGACTAAGAAAAAGAATAATACTATTAGTCCATCATTATTAGCTACAAGAAATTTGCGTGTTAGATGGAATGAGTCAATTGAGTCAAGTCAAAAAAATAAAAAAATAAAAATAAATGTTGATGAAGAGACATCATCAAGTAGTGATACCGAATTAAATTCTCAGAGGTTTTTAAATGTAATAAAAACATCTAAAAGAGAATTACATAAAACAACTACAGTAAAAAATACTAATAAACCTACTATCGGATCAAAGAGAAATAATTCAATAATTGAATTTAACACCAATAAAACTAAAATTACTGAAAAATCAAAAAAAAATACACAATCTATTTCCACACGTATTATGCGTAGTAATTCCATGTTAATTGATTCGTTTTGTTCAAAATCAGATAAAACAAGTCCAATTACAAAAAAATCAACCAAAGTTACAAAACTTCTTCCAATTACTCGTTCAAAATCAAATAAGTCAATTCAGACAAAACAAAATTTTGCTTCAAAACCTATTAAAAGTGATTCTTCAGAGAATGATGCAGAACAGAGTTCTGAAACATCTGAACAAGTTAAAGAATTATCAAAAAGAAAAACTCGCAACATTACAAAAGCTATTCAAATTAATAATAGTTCATCCTCAAAATCTAATGAAAAAGAAAAAAATGTTGAGACGTCTTCTGTTCCATCACAACTACTTAAACGAGGTTGTAAATTTGCAGCCGATATACACAATTCTAATAAAAGAAATGATTCTTCTTCAGAGAATGATGCAGAACAGAGTTCTGAAACATCTGAACAAGTTAAAGAATTATCAAAAAGAAAAAAATGTTGAAATGTCTTCTGTTCCATTACAACTACGGAAACGAGGTTGTAAATTTGCAGCCGATATACACAATTCTAATAAAAGAAATGATTCTTCTTCAGAGAATGATGCAGAACAGAGTTCTGAAACATCTGAACAAGTTAAAGAATTATCAAAAAGAAAAACTCGCAACATTACAAAAGCTATTCAAATTAATAATAGTTCATCCTCAAAATCTAATGAAAAAGAAAAAAAAGTTGAAACGTCTTCTGTTCCATTACAACTACGCAAACGAGGTTGTAAACTTGCAGCCGATATACACAATTCTAATAAAAGAAATGATTCTTCAGAGAATGAAGCAGAAGAGAATCCTCAGACATCTGAACAAGTCAAAGAATTATCAAAAAGAAAAACCCGCAATATTACAAAAGCTATTCAAATTAACAATAGTTCATCCTCAAAATCTAATGAAAAAGAAAAATATGTTGAAACGTCTTCTGTTCCATTACAACTACGTAAACGAGGTTGTAAACTTGCAGCCGATATATACAATTCTAATAAAAGAAATGATTCTTCTTCAGAGAATGATGCAGAACAGAGTTCTGAAATATCTGAACAAGTCAGAGAATTACCAAAAAGAAAAACCCGCAACATTAAAAATATTCAAATTAACAATAATTCATCCTCAAAATCTAATGAAAAAGAAAAAAATGTTGAAACTTCTTCCGTTTCATTACAACTACGCAAACGAGGTTCTAAACTTGTAGCTAATATACACAATTCTAAAAGAAAAAGTGATTCTTCTTCAGAGAATGAAGCAGAAGAGAATCCTCAAACATCTGCACAAATCAAAGAATTATCAAAAACAAAAACCCGCAACATTAAAAAATCTATTGAAACGTCTTCTGTTCCATCACAACTACGCAAACGAGGTTGTAAACGTGCAGCAGATACACAAATTTCTCAGCCAAATTCTAAAGGTTCAAAACGTGATGAATCATCTAAAGTGGCCAGCACTACAATTGGCCATGATTCTTATTCTATTCAAAATGTATCATCCGATTTAATATTAACCCGAAATAAGGCTAAGCTTACAGTGAAACAAATTCATGACTCTAAAAAAAACCCAAAATCTACTAAAGAAACTCTATGTGATTATAGTTCTGATGACTCATGTTCATTGAATAGAAGAGCAACAACCAAAAATGAGTCAAATAAGAATATTAAAGTAAAAGTTAACAAGTAAGTAATTTTTGATTATGTAATTTGGTTTAAATTATTATTAGAATATATAATTTTTATAGTATATTTATGTAGTTAATAAATATATTAATAAAGAATTATATATAAAAATAAAAAATAAATACATCGCCTGGGGTATTATGATATACATGTATTATATGACCAATTTCAAATTAAAAATTTATCATCAGGTATATCACAGTAAAATTGTAAAACATGATTGAATATACAAAATTAAATGAAGGAATTCAAAGAAAAAATTTTACAAATTCGCTAAAATTCTGAACAATAATACAAATAATGTAAAAATCATAAACATGAATAATAGAGCTTAAAACTTCACAAAAAATCTCGCTTTAAAATTGTTTGTTTATATAGTTAAGACAAGTAGAAATTTTAAAATAAGTTATAAAGAACACATTTATGAAATAAAATTAAAAAAGACGTCCTAGGATAATGCAGGCGGGTGCAGCCACTGTTATGTATAATTTAATGTATATGTAAACAACAATAAACCATTGCTTATGAAAAAATGATTCTGAGTAGAGTTCAGTTGATAGTGATGCTTTGTTAACAATATACATGTGATTTTATAATAAAATAATTTATAGGCTTTATATATTTTCTTTAATAATATTTGTTTAATATTGTATTGATTTTTCCCATTTATTAGGAAAACTCCTAGTAAAATCAAAAAATGACCTCCCTCAAGTACCTCCACACACCGATTTCCTTTCAGAAAAGGTGCTACACTTAAATATCCAAGGTAATTTTGTGGTAGAAAAGTTGTTAACAGATAAAAAAAAATTAACATCTTTGTTAAATCATAAACTTCTTTACTCCACTCAGAATCTAAAAGACCGCCCTTAATTCAAATTTCGTTAAACATTTTTTTTAAAAAACAACCATAATATAAAGCTTTGATATTAATACAGACTTAAAGATATTAAATACCCAAAATAACATTCACATTAATTCAGTTTTAGAAGAATTACATAGATGCAATGAAATAAAAAAAAGTAATTTTAATAATATTTTAAATGTACAAACAGATTTTAAAAATAATATCTCATATCAGTACATTTTAGTTAGGAAATAATAATGTTTTTCAATATATATGTGTCTAATAATAACACATTTTAAATAATCTCTCCATTAAAATAAATTATTTCTATGTAAAACGATCAATTTGTATAATCTTTTTCTATGTATTACTTTATTTAATTTTTATATTCAGTTTTACATTTTGATTGTGCTATACCTGATGATAAATTTTTAATTTGAAACTAGTCGTAAATACTCCAGGTGACGCATTTATTCATTTATTTACTATTATTAACCATTTTAATAATTTTGTTTACTTTATCATTTTATTTTTTAGTTTTTTTATGTAAGCCTTTTATTAACATGATGAAATTTTGAATCTGCATTTCAAGTGTAGCCCAATACAATTGTTGCAGTGATGATGTAAAGGGGTTAATTTGGGAGGCTGTGTACAGTGGCATGGGTTATCTGTGTGGGCAATAACAGTATAAGATGGGGTAATTCGGGCAGAGCTGCTTTTTGAAAAACTGCCGCCTATCACCTTAAATTATAATTTCTAAAAATGTTTTCTTGATAAAGTTATTTATTTTGATGAATTAGTCTATAACTAAAAAAATTTAAAGTATTTAGTCAAGTTTATTGAAGAGTATTTAATATTTTCATTGGTATTAATTATTATATTATACAATTTTTTTTTTTTTTTTTCAGAAATATTAAAACAACTACACCAAAAGGAAAGAAAACTAAGTAATTAAAAAATACTATAATTTTATAATATATACTACATTATGGAACATCCAAACAATTTTGTTTTAAATATTAAAAGTTGGCTATGGGTTATTTATAAAAACAAATTGTTGAATGTTTCTATAATATTGCTGCTTTGTTGATTTTAATTTCAGTTCCTCCCTTGTTTGTTTTCTATTGTGCATTTGGGATTTTTTATTTAGATGTCATATTCAGTTTAATATATAAATATTATGTGTAATGAGTTATTTAAAACTAATAAGGATAAAGAATTATGGTTTTATAAAGATTTTTTTTTTTCTGTGGACAACTTTTAACTGTATTACCTTTTCTGAAAATGTATTTTTCTTTTTAGATTTGGAGCATAGCTAGGGATCTAGTGGTTTTACAACACATCATAATATGTGCTTTTTTTGCATGTGTATGCAGTGATGTAGTGATCGATTTTAAACCATGATGCCTAACATATAGTTCAGTATACCTACCAACCTCCATAGGCACCCAGAGTGTTTTTCTCCCTAGTTTTTAATATTTTTCTCTTCATCAAGTGGTTCTTAACGTGGGCGGTAGGTTTTAAGAGGGCGTTGGGTGAGCGTTTCCTTTTTCTGAAAGAAAATTTTCTCGGGGTGGTATTTTATAGGGAGGTCATTTTTTGATTTTCCCAAAAATGTTCACATCAAATTTGAACAACTGGGAAAATCAGTACAATATTAAACAAATATTATTAAAGAAAATATGTAATGCCTATTTAATAATATGACATTTATATTATAGACAAAGCATCACTATCAACTGAACTCCGCTCAGAATCATTTTTTTTTGTTAGCAATGGTTTATCGTATACATCAAATTTTTATCTACATTTTTGTTTAAAGTTTTGCTTATATTAAAATGCCTACATTTATGTAATTACTTTTATAAATTTGTTGAAGGGTCGAACCCTCCCCCTCTTATTCTCTTAGTTTGCCATGTCTTAAATAAAAACATATTTAACTCCCGTCAATTCAAAATCTCGGCCCCGCTATTGGTTTAAATTAAAGGGAAAGAAACAATTTTTTTGTTTGTTGGTACGTATTTTATTGGGTGGCCTGGATAAATTTTAATTATCCAGCCCAAATTTAGTCCCCTCACTGACCCTTCTACATACATATTAATGTTTTTATAATTATATTTAGTTATATTTTTTATAAATATTATACAAAAAAATGATGACTATTAGGTATATGAAGTTAATATGAATTAATTTGATTTATAGAAGTACAAAACATGCAACTGATCTGGCTAATGAGTACCTAGTAAATTATTCTCCTAGGAAATTGCGAGTCAGAGAAAAAAAGTGAAAAATACAATTATTTATTTAAGAATAAAACATAGATTATCTTTTTTTTTTTTTTTAAATTTATATTTACATTAAATGTATATTACTTGTATTTATATGACCCTTTGTTAATATTAATTTTATTTTCACTTAAATAATATACCTATTCATTGTAAACAATAATTTAATAGTATATCTACTACATAATAAAGAATAAATTTATACTTTTAATTATTAGACTAAATGTTATATAATAGTAAATATCTAGTTATTATTATTACTTATTTTATAGTTTGTGACAGTTTTATTTCAATAATATGTTAATCAAGTATACCTATTAGGATTTTTGATTTTTGGATTATTTATCTGAAGTTTACTAAATTTATCTTATTGCATACAATACATTAAAATTTGAAAAAAATACAGCCTTCTACTATTTTTAATTTTTAATGTTTTAGAGAGGCATTGTTCAGTGTTTCATTTGTTACAATATTCTTACCTAAAGTTGGGTATGATTTACTTTGATCTCCTTTTCATCTTTTTTCATAACATATAAATTTAAATATTGTTAATCTAAAAAGTATGGGAAAAATGTTTGATATTGAAATGAAATCTATTAATAGTGGACATACTAAAAACAGATGTTAAAATTATTAAACATTGGTAAAAATGGCTTTCATTATAGTGAATATCTTATTTATTTTACTTTAGTAAAATATTAATAAATTCTGAAGAAAATATGTATTCAAATTGAATATTCGCAATATATTTCAATTTAATAAATGTAACTGCAGTGGCGGCTTGCGCTATGGTGTACAGAAGCAGTGCATTACCTACAATTTTGAAAACTATACATTATTATATTAGGTACTACAGTATAAAAACCTATTATTAATTGTAATATATATTATAAACTAGAAATGCATTCATATTTATTTTAGAAACAAGAATAAAAATTATTTTATTGAATTAAAGAAATATTAAATGCAAAAAGTCTAGAAAAATTAATGTTATTGTATGGTGTGTGCCATTATATACAATACGCAGCAGCAGTGGTCACAGAGTGCGGACGGGTGAATATAATTTTTGTACCAGTCGCACATTCACATTTAACCATTTCATTGCCAATACTGGCACAACTACCATTAGATATAGTGGTGTTGGTGCACAAATGAGTATTGAACCACTGACTACCATAGTCCCATCTCCTGTATAGTACTACAACCAACTGCCGCCGCTTACAAAGAATATCATGTTGTGGGAACTGATTATTTCTTTTGAATAAAATTAAATTTGAGCGGTAGGCGGCGTTATCTCAACAAATACTGTAGAAAATACTGACCAACCCGGTTTACATTCAATTCCTAAATAATTTATAACAAATACAAATATATTCATATTTCAATATAATATTTGTTTTAGTTACTGTTTTCTGAATTGATTGTACTTATTGTATTCAATTTTAGATTCTGAGTGTAGCAAAGCATGTATTAGTTTACAAAGATGTTTATTTTTTTATGTGAATACTTTCGATCAGAAAGCCGACTCCAATATATATGATGTAAACCTTTTCTGAAAGGAAATTTTCTTGGGATGTTCCTTTAAGGAGGTTATTTTTCGATTTTCTCAAGAGTTTTCTCATCAATTGTAAAAAACCAAAAATACATTGGGAAAATGTACAAAATACCTATGTATTTTAGTAAAATATTACAATTTTTTTTCCTCTGGAAAACTTTTCTACCACCAACTTTGATTCCGATTTACAATAATAGCACTTTTTCTCAAAGGAAATCTGGCTAAGGAGGTAATTTTGCAATTTTCCCAAGATTTTTCCAGTAAATGTGAAAAACCGGGAAAATTGATCAATATTAAACAAATTGTATTAAAGAAAATGTATGTAATGCCTATTTAATTATTTTACCATAATATGACGTATAAGGTGTTCAATCTATCATAAGACAATCATTATCTCGGAAAGTATTAACTTTTTTCAAAATTTGTTTTATAGAAAATTTTAAAAATAAGCTGTTCTAAGTGGTGGCACATTATTAACACGCCGCAGGCCGTACCGCTACATAAATGATGGATGCAACACTACTCTTCCCCGACTCAAATTTAAAATTCGAATATCTCATCAACAGATTGACGGAAATTACAAATTTAAACACCAAAATGTATGGTAACTACTTCTTCATCTATTTGTGGAAGTTTTGATGGCCATTTGAAAATCAATAGTTGGTTATCGTTTCACTCCCAAAAATTAGAGTAATAAAAAATAATTTAAATGCTAAATTTTAGAACAGCTTGTTTTAAAATTATATAAAAAAAAAAAAGTGAATACTTTCCGAAACAATGAATGTCTTATGATACATTGATCACCCCGTATTTATTGTTGACAATGCATCACAATTAATTGCACTCATATTCGATTTTTTGTTATCAATGGTTTATTGTTCCTAACAGATATACATTAAATGCCCTTCTGTATCCTACCTTTCCAACATCCCACTTACAATAGTGGCTGCATCCGTCCTTATGAGGCGCCTCTAAAACACAAGGGGTGAGTATAAGTGATATTTTATCGATTTTGAGAAAATCAAGTTTAAAATTATCTGTATTTAATATAATTATTAATTATTATACCTAGCATATCATATCATATCATCTTACTTATATTCGAAGAAACAAAAAAATGTTCAACTACTTGGTAGTAAAGAGACATAAGAGTATGTAGGTACAGCTGTTGTGGACCCTTGTACCTATTTATCTCTAATATGTTATGACATTTTCATTTGAAGACAATTTTAATGAGATCTGTATTTGACACTAGATCGCAGCACATGACGAATAATTTTCTTATATTTCTTTACCACGAAATAAAATGGAATATTTTTAGTTCAGTTGTGCTCTTAACTCAGATTTTTTAAAAATGTCATTCTTATCCTTAGTGTTTTATACGTTTTTTATATATTGTTGACAAAGTATCATTATCAACTGAATTTTTCTCAGAATCGTTTTTCGTTAGCAATAGTTTATCCTGTTCCCTTTATCCTAGGATAGCTTGTTTTTAAACATGTACCACCAATTATTTTACCCACGAGCAGCTACTCTGCTGCTGACATTATTGTTCTATACAACGTTATTATCACAAACCAGCTACTCCATATCCATGACTTCTGAAAACCTTGAAGTCGGGGAAAACATGGAATAGTCTAGGCATTTGTTTGAAAATGTGGATTTTAATTTAAAACTTCAATTTTTAGTTTCGTAAATATTATGCAGAAATTGAAATAATATAAATAATTATTTAATTTATTAAAACTAACAAATTTACAATTTTCTCAAGATTTACTGTACTCTTATGGAAATTTAAATTTAATTTTTGTGTTATACACGATGTAAAGGCACTGTGATGTTTTAGTACCCGTACCTATTCTTAAAATATTTAATGGGAATACCACTGAACATAATGTTTATTTACTTTGGAAAATCATCCAGGAAAAAATATAGAAAAGTGAGAGAAAACTAGAATGGAAAATGGAATTTTGTGGCAACCATAATATAATTTCTCAGTTTGGATATACAACTGATTATTTATAGATATTTTCTATTTGAAGTTTTATAGAATGGATTCAGTTGACCGACAGAATAAGACCTCATACATACTATACATATTTACGTGTTTTCTCTTCAATTTTTTAATGTCTACAACATCTTGTGTAACTATTGGTCGACATTGTTGACTCGACAAAAACATTTTAGCCGATTCGTAATATTACAATAAAAAATGATGGATTATTTTATTATAATAATATATTATTAATTCATTATCATATTATAATATATTATGTTAATGATAGATGTGAATACTCTACGACCGTGGGTATAATTTCAAATCATCTCCATGATCTATGATAATGAACGCATAGATAAAAAGACGTCTGATAATTACCACGGCGGCCTGTCAAAAAAAATAGGTAGACATGCATATGAATAATCTTGGTATTAAAATATTGTTGAAACGTGATTTTTTTCCTTCGTTCTTAAAAAAATATAGGCATTAAATAATAATACTATAATATTTTCGATGTCTACTACCGAACAGGAATGCCGAAATCGATTATTTTACGTAACGCAAATTCGTCACGCCGTGACGTAACCGAGAGTAAAAAAATCGCGGCCGTCCTCAGTATTATTGTCGTGGTCTTATAATACAATTTCGCGAGTGTCGTTTTTGCTGCTACTACTGTTTTGTACGCTTGGCTGCATTATAATATTGTACCGACACGGAAAATTACGTTTGTTTAAAGACGACACTCCGGACACTCGCCTGTATTATATGCACCGGCCGAATGGATAGGTATAGGTAAGTAAAATGAAATCGGTAAAAAGGGAAAATAATATGACGTATAAAAAAATCGGTTGTCAATCGGTGGCGTGCTGCTGTGCTATTTTTACGCGTAATGATTTTCATGTTGCCGGAAATTATATCACGTCATATTGTAACGTTTATCGTGAAACCCTTTGTACTCGAAAAGGACAGAAATAAATGCACGCGAAACCGAAATTACCCGAACCGTTTTAGGACTGGTAGTGGTCAAGCAGAAAATCTGTCATATCGGGCGGTGTTTTTTTAAAAAAAAATTGAATACGTGTATACCTACGTATTATTGTACCTCTCGAATTGTATCAATCGAGCGACGACGCAATGATACTCCGAGACGAGAGACGCGAAGCCGTATAGAGTATTGTATTTTGTTTATTCTGAAATTACAAAATAACAAAGAAAAAGCGTAGTTCAATTATAAATGTTATTTGACGTGGCTTTTTTTTTTTCTATCTTTATGTACGGTTTATTGTAAATCACGTCCGCGCCGTTCTATTTTGACGTGACAGCCGTCCACGAATTTGAGCGTCGTTAAAAACATTAGTCTCAGGTGTTCCGGCGTGGGACACCTGTCCGACGGGGAAAACTTGTTCTCTCGCACCAGCGTCGATATGACCGTTTTCATTTGGACCATGGCGTATTTGATGCCTATACAATTCCGGAATCCCGCGCTGAACGGTATGAACGCGTACGGGTGTCGGTCGTGACACGCGTCCGGCAAGAAATGGTCGGGGTCGAACTTGTCCGGATCGGCGTAGTACTCCGGACTCGACTGCAGGTATAGCGGAGAGATCAGCAGCGACGAACCTTGAAAACGACACAAACGTATTACCTATAACAATAGACGAGCCCGTATATATGGGGGGGGGGGTCCAACCGCCTCCCATCCGAATTTTTAAAGTAGTATATTTATAATATAACAATGACTAACTACAAGTTCGTGTATTAAAAATACTTTAACCCCCTCCCCCTTGAAAATTGATCTAGAATACGTGCTTGACAAAAGGTAATGCACGGATCTACCCTCAGTTAAACTACGCAAACCAATTTGTGGTATTTTTATGCAAATTATTTAAGTTTACACGTTCAGTTATTAACACATATTTTTCTTCAGCCTTAATTTGCCACTATAGCAAAAATGTCGTCTATATTACTGAACAAGAGTTTTGTATTCTCGCGGTCTGTGTTTTATTAAAAAAAGATTATTAATATTAGATAAAATAAATGAAACAAAATAAATAAATAAAAAGAAGTGATCAAAAAATTGGCTGTTAAAAAGACAAACATTTTCGCACATAAATTTAATTGATGAATTATCTGGTGAACCATCTGACTTTAGAAACTTTAGGTGAGTTTAGACAGCTAATTGTGTATCTGGTCCCATTTTCCGGCGGGGGGGAGACGTAACTTGAAAATACATACATTTTTTTTTCATTTGGATAAAAACAAACCCATTAATATAGAAAAAATTAAAAGCCGGGGACAAGGCGATAAGCCCCATCACCTGTACCCAGAAAGACTCCCTTGAATATAGGTATTCAATTTTAAAACTGTCTAAAAACCCACAGCTATCCGTTTACAAACACGGGAAAACTGTGTAACTTCTGTAACTGCATAATTCTTTTCAGGCATCGCCTGAACTCGCACAGTCCAAAATTTTGAACTGAGCAGACATACGATTTCCACTTACACATACGGTTAGTTTGCGCCGTTTGCCGTTTAACTGAGCGTGTAAACTCACCTTTATGGTAGGAAAGACAATCACAATAATATATAATACGAGTTGTTTGTTCTCCCTACCTACTTTTAAAAATTGATAAACAACGTAGCTGATAGGTAGCTTTTCGAAATGCAGTGGCGTATAGGTACCCGGTAATAAACGTTTCGAGTGGGAGGGTTAAAAAATATTTATACGTTACATACCTTATGGAAACGAATATTCGTATTAAAATAGGTAAATACTTTTTCGATTATTATATTATAAAATAATAATAATAATAAATATTATTGTTACTTACGAAAATAAACATTAATTTAACAGAAAAAAAAATATTCCGGGTTAGGATGACAAATTCCTCAATAGCCCACTTTGGCACCTACATAATATATAGACTATAATATGTGCCTTCACTACACGAGAATTAAACTAACAGTGATTACTTATCTATAATCTATACACTGTAAATAATGTAATAATGTTATTATTATACCGCATTGTGATAACAGTATTGAAAGGTTAGGCTAGCTCGACTTTTTTATTTAAAAATGTATTAAAATACAATGTGCGCGCGACTAGAATCAGTATGTCGTGTTTTTGTACTCAAATTATTTTCATTAAAACGGGAGAGCGGAACGTGTTATTTTGTAAAAATAACATTGAATAATAGTAAATCTGAATCTTCTGTTAAGACAATTCGCCATTAAGACAATCGCAATTTCAGCAAGTGGGCGTGACCGTGCGTTTAGTTCCATGAACAATTTAGTGACTATTAAAAGAAATGCATTAAATTCTACTAATATTTCTTTTTTACGTTTATAAATTGTGTCCAACACCAGTAAGAACTTTTAAACATTGCTCTTATGTCCTGTCTTGGATACGGAGAGGTAAAGGATTTGCTAAAGAATAATGTAGGGGCGTCATTTGAGGGAGCAGGGTGTGCGGTCGCGCCCCTTACATTTCAAATAGTCCCGATTGGCGTGCTGAAATAATGTACCATTTTTGTATATAATTAAAATTAAATTATATTTTTATATTAACAGTAGATATTGTTATTTTTCTGTCAGTATGTGTATCGTGTATTTTATACACGATATAGACATACCTGATACGTATAGAACACGTATATAGATAAGGGACTTTACGGTCAATAGTCAATTATGGAAATATTGAAAATGATTGCATTAATAAAAACTGTACCAATTACAATGGCATAAAATGAAAGATTTTTTCATCGTTTAAAAATGTAAAATCGTATTTCAATGGGCGATGATCAAAGATTAAATGATCTTATGGTGCTAAATATTGAAAAAGAAGAAGTAAATAATATTGATTTAGTAAAAGCTGTAGATGTATTTGCTGGATTTAAAAATCGCTGGTATCCTCTTAATATATTTAATTTGTTTTTCTAGAGTGTTTTCACAAATATTCATTGTGATGGTTGGTTCATATTATTGATACATTATATTGTAATAATTTGGTGGGAAATATTGGTTGGGGACTCGAGTCAGGTTGAATTTATTCATTGTAAAGGATGCTAATATTTTGAAAATTTTGAAATTTTTTCGATTCGAGCAATGCGTATAAAGTATGGATTATAAGTATATATTATAATATTATCGTAATAATATACCGGCCGGACATAAGTGTTTCCCGATTTTCATTTCTTCTTCCAATTTTCTGGCAATTATCGGCAATGGAGGAAACAGTCGCAGCGTTTCTTTGATCACTCGTTCGAGATATGTCATTTGTTGCATGTCCTCGTACGTGGGTGGTCTATCACGGTCGCCAGTTGAGAATATCGTTTGTATTTCCTCGAACACCTAAACACCGAATATTATATTATAATAATCATATAATATACGGGGCAAAACAATTTATGATAAAGCCATTTTATTATGTATTAATGTTCAAAATAGAGAAAAATGTATAATATGAACCAGAAGCTAAAATGTATACTTGATCGTCTTGCAAACTTTATACTAAACCATACTATATCATAGGTGTATTATCCCCTCCCCCGCAATGGAATTATTTCAGATTTTGAGGGGACGGAAAGAGGGAAGAATTTTTGATCAGCACATTAACGAAAAAGTAACCGCTTGCAAATTAATCTCAACTTATATTTACCTCTATGTTTTATCATAATATAAGGACAAATAGCCCACTTTTTTTTTTTTTTAAAGACTGGATTCTAAACTTTTATAGTGCTTGTCTTAAAGACGTTATTTTAGATTTTCTCAAAGGAACTAAATTAGTATATTTGTTTTTTATTTTTTATATATATAAATTAACTCAAATCAATTTCAAAAAATACATAACTATTACAATCCACTAGTCATGGATATTATAAACATTAATTACACATAATGTGATCAGTTTCAGTTCTTTATTTATTAATGTATCTATTACCTATAAATTAAACAACGATAATTAATGTACCTTAATCTATTCTGTGCTTTCATCATCTTTGAAAATATTAATATGTGATAACTGTCAATATTAAACGAGTCGACTTGTTATTTAAAATTTTAATAAAGATACATTTTAGTATTTATTTTTTTCCAATCTTAATTATTGAAAGTGCAAACAAATTTTAAATTAAAAACGAATGCCTTCAAATAAATATCATAATATAGCCGCTACACACTTTTTAATTCCGTGTTGCACACTTCATCTATTTGTGGAATTTTGAATATAAATTATTATTTATATTTTAAAAGTTGATCACCAAAACTTTTCCAAAAAAGAAAGCAAAAAAAAAATTACACTTTGTTTATAAATCGAAAAATTTTTATGTTGTACATTTTTTTCTACTTTGAATAATTACATAATAAAATAGCTATAAGATAAATTTTGAATTACTCTGAATATATCTGAAAAACCAATTTTTTCTGTAAATCCCTATATTCGATTTTAGTTTATTTATGTAATTTATATAGGTTCTGAGCGTAGTTGGAAATATATTAGTTTTACTATGATATATGTTTTTTTTCTGTTTGTAAATAACTTTACTACTAGAAATCTCGTTCCGAACATAAACATCAGGGCTGGTTTCTGTTAGCAAATTTTTTCTAGTTTGAGCAGTTGAAAAGTTAGTACATTTTAAAAACATTCTGATGATGTTTTTATAGTTATTCATAACCATTCAATTTTTCGATTGTATTAGACTTTATTTTTTTTGGTCAATCAAAAATCTACGAAAATTGAACACAAAGTAGTCCTTAAAGTTGTGGTAAAAAAAAATTAAAACTTAATACACATAATAGATATTTTTTTATAAGTGTACTTTTAAGTTCAAATATATTGACGATAATTGTGAAAACCATTAATCAAAAGTTTCAAACAAAATTTCATCTTTTAACGCATATAAAACCATCTAAATTGTGCTCAACTTTATTATTACCATTAAGTACAACTTACAATGTCGTGTTAAATGTGTCTAATACGAAATCCGATGTGTTCATGCTTGTATTTAGTGCATGCGGATATAAGTTATTGGTTATGTTCATATTGTTTTAATTATGAACCTCGAGATAATTTTGGTTGAATTCCTATTATAGTATAATAGTATTGAAAATACAGTGGTAGGGGGATATGGGAGGCAAAGGCCACCGTGGCACATTATTTGAAAAGTGATCGAAATCCTCTACCATGACAAATTCTTCAACGCCCCACTGCCCCCCACTGATATCGATACAACGTAAACAGCGATATTATAATATTTTATAATTAAAAGTACCTTGTCCTGTACGTCTTGGTGATGGGCCAACATGAAGATCGTACAAGCGTTCGTCATAGCGGTCGTTTCTTGTCCTCCTGCAAGATAATATTATACAAAATAATTTAAGCATAGAAAATTATATTATCTATAGTTATGTCTCCGTCGCTTGTCTTCTATAGTATTAGCGTAATAGAAATAATATTATTTACCGTTAGCCAGAAATGTATTAGATATATTTGATTCGGAGCGTAGCGAGGAATCTATTGGTTTTACTGTGATGTGTATTTTTTTTTTTTATTATTATTATTTTGTGTGTGTGTGTGTGTGTGCGAGCAACTTTTCAACCAGAACTCTTGCTCCGATGAAATAAGTGTAGCCCTTTTTTCTAAAATGAAATTTATCTAGCTGATGCATTGGGGCGGTCATTTTTTAATTTCCCAAAGGTTTTTCATAATAATCGAGAAAAACTGGAAAAAAAATATAAGTAAAACAGCCAATATTTACGGCACGCCACAGTGTTACCGATTTCATTGTTTTTAATTTTTGCAAACTATGTTTTCTACCAGAAAAATTGCTTTGATAGAAAAACTAAAAGAGACCTTTATTGTTAAATTTTGGATTTAGTTGATAAGTAATCAATTCGTTTTGTTGATTTTTACAATAATTTTTTTAATAATTGAGCAAAAACGACCAAATATTCGAAAAAAATGTATTTATTATTTTTAATTATATTTATTTTATTATAGATGACAATATTCATAGTGACTTGAAATTTTGACAGAAAATGTACTATTGTTTTTTTTAAACGTGGTAAAATTTTCAAAACATTTAAGCATTTTTAAGCTAATTATAAAAATTTTAATTTTGCAAGTTTTTCACGTAATTTGTTTTGGTAGATACTAAACAGAAATGTTTGAAAATTTAAGAAGAGGTTCATTATAAGTTATAATTAAAAATAAGTTAAAAAATAGAAAAATTGAGAGTAATGGAGTATTTTTTTTTTTATTAAATTTTCATATCAAATTTTGACGAAAATCGTAAATATTACGGTCTTTCGAAACATAACTGTAACCGAACTTCTATCTGAATCATTTTTCGTTACCATTGGTTTATGGTTGCTTACAGATAAATGAAATAACCAAGAATCTTACCTTCCCAACTTTCACCTACAACAGTAGCACATCTATCCCCAGTATAATCTCTTATTTTTTTTTTTAGTCTTATTTTGCGGGATAGTTAAAAACCGCACGTTTTAAATAACATAAACGAATATTTCAAAGGCAAAATTTAAAATTTAAAACGTTTATATTATTATTTATGTAGGAATTATATCTTCCCCTTATAAAGCTTTAACGGTTGTGCGGATTTTTAAATATTGATGATCATGCCGAGAAAATTAAGTGAGTGGGTCAGGTTAGGTTGTGATACAACTAAAAATGTATAAAATAGAGGAATCATATCGAGCAGAACTCTAGTAATAATTATTACAATATAAAAAAAAACTTAAAAATATTTAACAGAGTTATTTCAGATGACAAATTTTCGTGCTACATTCTGTATATAGGGGCAGGTCTCTTTTCGTCCACGTTCTCTGTTTGCCCAAAAATGATAAATTCGTTTTATTTTTTCGCCTAAATTAAATACATTCGTTTCGCCCGTTGTTTTATGTTTAATATTTTTGGAACCATTTATCAAAATTATTTCCATCACTTCTCACGTGTTTTTAACTGTATGTATACAACATTTTTATTTAAGCCATTTAGCATTACCCAGAGAGTTATTATAAATTTATAACGTGGAAAATGGTGAATACCTATATTTACAGTCGGATTTGGTATGCACGTCGTAACAATATTGATAATATTCACGATTAGGTATAATTATGTAATATGTATTTATTGTTATAGTCATTTCGTTCGTTCGAAATAACAATATAATATGAGAGTTTAGTAATTTGGTGCAACTGATACGAATTTCGTTTCTACGCTTTTTGTAAAATTAGTGCATACGTTTCTTTTTGTTTTTTTTTTATGGAGTTCTTAGAAAGTAAACGAGGAGGCCATATGGTGCTTTATAATAATTTTAAATATAATTATGGTTCAACGACAAAAAAAGATTTCTTTAGCTGGAGAACACAATCGCGATTCATATGATCCAATATTAGTTGTCATATAATGAACACAGCATGCAAACGAACAGCTTTAGATCTCTATACAAGACTGAAAAAAGTTGTACTTAAAGAAATTGTCCAAAATGACGCATCATTAAATTTAAACGTAGCTAATTTTAAACGATTAAGTAAAAACATACATAAAGCTCGTACAAACGTTCTTCCACTTAATCCTACAAATATAAACGAAGTTCATCAGTACAATGACACAGCTGAAATAAAGACTGTCCAAGGAGAATATTTTGTGTTACATGACGATAAAAATAAAAATTTAATAGTATTTTCTGGTGAAAGAAATTTACGCTTCTTGAGCAAAGTAGAAAATATATACATGGATGCACGTTTAAATATTCGGCAAGATTTAATGAACAAATTTTCACCATACATGGGCATGGAAATGGACATTATATTCCATTCATTTTTTTTTTTATTGGTTGATCGATTGGTAATCGATCGAAACTTACGAATTCGTATTTAAAATAATTGTCGAAAGATGTTTAAATGCATTAATACAACACAAGTACAACCGAAAATATTTTTTTTTTTCGACGACATAGAAAATTACAAAATAAAACCTAACCTATCATTTAAAATAATAAATACTAAATAGCTTTATTTAAACATAAGAAACCGGATTAAGTGCTTTACGGACCTTAAGAAAATAAGTCAGACGGGCCTAATTGGCCATAAAAAGTAAACAAATAGTATACAGCTGTCCTATATCTCAACTGTACTTCTAAACTCAAATTAAAACAAATTTTCGTTTTTATAATTTTAATTATGAATATAAATAATATTTAATACATCATCGTGTTAAATATATTTTTGAATTATAGGCAAATACTAAAATATATGTATATTTATTATAAAATTAGTCAGTCATCGTTGCAACTGTTTACTATTGTCTATCCTCTTCATCTATGCATAATTCTTTTTTCTAGCTTTTTGAAAACTTTTAGTCAGATTTAATTTAGATCAATTTAGATCATCTTATTCTTACACATATTAGGTATTATTGCAGTTGTCACATTACATCCCATAAATTCGGTCGTACACGGCCGGTGCCAGATGAAAACAAAATATTTTGTTATATAGAAATACATGTGTATATAGGTACTGTATAATTTTGGTGAATTCAACCGAAATCCTAATGTAGTCTGACCATTTCTGTCGGCCAAATTTTGTCCCCGATAAACGGTCGAATAATTTGGCAGACGAAAAATATTCGGCCGATGTCCTAACCGGATCTAGTCTGACCATTGACTTAGTGTGTAAATCTACAGATTTGAAATTTTCTCAATACAAAAAAAAATGTTATGGGCCGAATTTTTTCGAGGGCCTTAAGCAGTGCTTAATTTGCTTATAGATTTATCCGACACCGTATACAACCCAAAGGGCAGTGTATTTTAACGGATATGAAAAATAATTTTGGGTAAAGTTGGCTATTCAGTGTGAGTATTTGAGAAAAGTTTCGGCCTGTAATATTATTGTGTTAATACTGTATAAAGAATCATAACTACATGATATACCTATATGTTAGAGAGACCATTTTTGTTATCATCATTTGAGACTTAAACACGAATTTGCGGAATCAGATATTTACGTTATTTTTCGGTTCTATGAACGCAAATAAAATACCATTTAAATTAACCCATGCCAGAATTGGGTGCACTTTAATTGCATGCCAAAAAAGAATTATTTGACGTTTATTTGAAGTGATTTTTGTATATTTTTAGAGCATATAAATTCAGTTTATACCCGTAACACATATATTTTTTCATATATTTACCAATCATAATTGTTATTAATTCTTCTCGTATTTGTTTGTGTGACATCCCATGATAATTTTCTAGAAGAATTTCTATAACGGTTTTCATTTTTCGGCCAATGACTTCGTCGTCCGTTTCTAAATTTCTCTTATGATTGCCTTCTGTATTTTGATTTAACTTGGAAAACTTTTCATTAATTATTTCATCAGTGAATTCATTTATGATTTGCTGACTTTGGTCATGTTTTTGACTGACTTTTGACCATTTGAATAATGTTTTACTCAAATACCATGGATGTGTAATTCTATATTCCCACGTCTACATAAATTATTAATTAATTGAGTATAAAAGCATATTTATTTTTATGTACAGCGTATAATTTATTTGGCGCGTTCACCCCATTTTTATGGTTACATTTTGCATCTATTCAAATTCTAATTTTTAGAATGTTTAAGTTTAGTTCAAGTAGGAGGAGATTAGTTGAGCACTAATAAAATGCCACATACCGTGCCGTCGCACATGCAAATGATACTACACTATACTCTCTCCCCACCTGATCTAAAAGTGAAATATCTCGTCAAAGAATTGACAGAAATTAAAAATTTTAACACCAAAATTTATTTAGAGTAATACTCCGTCTATTTATAGAATTTTTAATATAGGTTTTCATTTAAAACACCAAAGTTGATATCGCAACAGGACACTCTTTAAATATTGTGAAAAATCTAAGTATTCAAAAATATTGGCTTTAACATACACTTAAATATTTCAAATCCAGAATTTGAATAAATGCAAAATGTAATCACAAAAATGGGGTGAGTGTAATTAGTGAATCATTCTGTATAGGTAGAGGCGGATTTAAGACAAAGTAACGAAAGAGGGAATTTTTAAAATTCATATAAGGCTCACATTTATGATGAGCACAATGATGAATTATGCTAAGAGTTTATTGAAGAGTGGTAGGAGGGGTGAAGGTGGCTCTTCGCCATTTTCTGTATCCACCACTGGATGTAGGAATATTATTAGGGAGAAAAATTATCTTACTTGTAAGGTCGTTTGTAAATTATCAATGAATCGATGACGGCTGTTATTTTGAGCGTTGAATGTTACATCTAACGCTGTTTTCCCGATCATTTCCATTGTAGCCATACTTACTGGAATACTTATATCACACTCCTTCGATTTTAAATCGCATTTTTTGTTCAGTATTTCGCTAAGGACATTCGCCTCTTCATAAAATATTGGTATAAACGATTTAATCATCGAAAAACTTAGACCTCCAGATACCATTTTTCTAAAATAATAATTACAATACATGCATACATACATATTATATACTTAACATGTTATTATAGGTGCGTACCTCTTTTTATACTATTATATAGGTATGTTTTAATTTAAACGAATAAAATACATAATTGTTGAGTACAATAAACTTACGCGGAAAACGTTAAACCCCTTAAACGTATACCTACCGCGCGGTCCATTTGTTCGTTTATATCTTCGAATTATTTTATAACTATAGATAGGTACAATTAAAATGTGTATAGCTCAGTACGACGATTATCTACCTGTTATTCTTCCATTTCTGAATGTCATCGTTTGTAAATATTCCTTGGCCCATGATGGATTCTCGTAGAATTGAGTATTCCTTTGATTTTTTTTGTAATTTTGGGTTGGTAAAAACAAATTCAATATCTTCGGGTTGTGTCAGCACAATCAATAGACGATCAAAGAGCCAAACTTTAAACAAAGACTTCTCGTACCTGGAATTATTTTTATAATCATTACTTATACAAAATGTTAATTTTATTAATAATTATGAAATCACGTCGAATAAATAATATATAGTTTTAGTGCATTATGGATACTAAATTACCTAATCAGTTTTCGTTGTAGAGCAAATTTAAATTAAGTATATTATACGTTATAGATTTATTTACTGTACATAATCAATAGTGTTACAACTCACATGCGGTATAGTTTTGAACAATTCGTGAGAAATTTTTCTGGACCTTGTATCACAACAGGTAAAATACCAACAAGAAACAATCCATCAGGACCGGGTATTTTATTGGCTAATATTGTTGTTCTTCTGTTTTTAAACTTTACTATCATAATTATAACCAAAATAGCCAACAACAACATAAAAATAAAATTCCACGTATTTGATTCGTTTAGATCCATAACCTATTGTAAACATTATTTTTTATTAAACATAATGTATAAACACTAAGGAATTAGATTTAAATACACGTCGTTTAGATATGTATCTTTGTAAGTATAAGAACATATTTATTGATGGACATCAGCACATAGCATTATCTTATTAAAGTAACAAATTACATTTTTATTTCGTGGTGAATATTAAACACTGAAAATATTGGCTAATATATTGTATACATATTTACATATATATATATATATATATTTGCCCTGTAGACTGTAATTAGTAACTACACATACATTATACATGCAATATGGATAAACTTAATTAATTTTTTTATGTAGGTATGCACTTATTTAGAAAATTCAACGTTTAAATGTAGGCATTTTAGTTTATTGATACCATATTAAAATACAAATCATCTTGTTTATAACGAGAAAAAATACAAAAAAAATGGAGCAGATCTATAGCTATCTATAAAATACTTAGACTTAAGTAAATAAAATTTACCTACTTATTAATATTATACCTATAGGTACTAGAAATACAATTGTTTAATGTTACTGGCTTAATTAACTTAATTAAATTTAAGAAAGAAGTAGCTATACAATTTTCCAAAAAAAATTATTGATAAAAGTCAAAAAAAAAGTTTTAAATATCAAGTGTAAACACATAAATGGAACACTCTATACTTTGCCAGTTGAAGAAAATAGTACCATACAGCAGTACCTATATAAATGTTGTCTATCAAGAGTCGGGTAGTCTGAACCAGTGCTTCTCAACCTGGGGACACAATGACCCCTTTGGGGGTCATCAACTAATTATTTAGGGTCACCAAAAATATTGGGTCACCGTGTACAGTGGCGCAATTGTGGGAGGACGAAAGGGTCATTCGCTCCCCGTGGGTCGTATAATTATATATGACAATATGTGTGCGTTATTATATTTTTAAAATTTTTAAGAATGGGATAAAATATGTTTCGCTGCCCCCCTCTTAAGAGATAGTTAAGTACGCCACTGGCCGTGCATAAAATATAAATATTTAAGGATGTTAAAAAATGTAATATTTATTTAGGAAGTCGCGATAGTAAAAAGGTTCAGAAACACTGGTTTAGACTTCAGAATAATAATTGTGATATATACCTATGTATACAAATACAAATTACAATGATGTAGGTAAAGTACTGTATGTGTCCATGAATAGATACTACATATCGTTTTTAACCGCGGTATTGACTGGCGTAAGCCTATAGTTATTCTTCAAGATATAATAATTATATCTTATGATTGTTATATAGTTATATTATAAACGATAGGTAATGTAATTTGTATCTACTCGTTTAATACACATTAACTTGTTCATTATACATATCCATCCATCGAGGTGCTTGTAATCAAGCACTTGAGATACATAATGTTTTTATAAACATCATGATGAACGATGATAATATTGTTTAATTTTCGTTGGATATACTATATAGCTAACTACCTAATGTATGATTTCAGAGGCTGGTGAGCGGATTACAAGAGCTCATTTGGTTTTTCATACAATTTCAGATCTCGCGTTTAAAACTACTATTTATTTTCGTAGGCACATTACACAAAAATAATAATAATATATATTATAGATATCATCCACAATAATTTATTACAATAATAACATTAAACAAATAGGCAATTTAATTTATATCCTTATATTATTTCAAATGTAATAGTATGTAGGTACAACATGTACTCATACATACTACACAATAATAATGTATTTTTTAAAATAATCTCAAGCAAAAGGCTTTATAATATAATCGATGTAGATATATTTTGCTTGTATTATTACGTACAATTTCCATTTACAATATTAAGCCCATCATCACCAATTGAAAAATATTTGATAATATTCCACTGTTCACGACGGAATTTGTTACAATGTTATATTTTACTAAAATACTATTTTTCTTGACTAAACCTAATAATATTATATACCTATAGGCTCCTAGTTAAAATAATATTAAGAGAGAGTTGAACGTACATTGTCTGTTTCTGTCAATCTAACGGGCAATATACCTGCAAACCTGTGTATTTCCAATAGTATTCAATTCACTTTAGACATACGTAAAAACTTGATTTGTAACGAGGGATCTATTGGTTTTACTATGACGGTTTTTTTTTTGTTTGAGTTACTTTTTTACTTGCTCTCCGATGTATCAAGAGAAGCACTTTTTCTGAAAAAATATTTTATCTAGTTGGTGAATTGAGTATATTGTTTTTTGATATTCCAAGGGGTTTTTATAATAATTGGAAAAAATTGAAAAAAAATTGTAGGTAGGTTAGATGGTAAATATATATTCTGCGCGCTACAGCGTTACCGATTTCATTGTTTTTATAACTTTTGCAAACTATATTTGACAAGAAATCATAATTGTTGAATTTTTAATCTAGTCGGTGAGTGAGAGAGTATTTTTTTAATTTTTCCTGTAGTTTTTTTAATAATTGAACAGAATCGAAAAAAAACGCAGTAAGAACGGACAAATTTACTAAAATAATGTTTTTATTATTATTTTCAATTTTGTTTTTCGTTGTAATACAGTTTAAAATATCTGTAAAGACTTTATATTTGTTTTTTCTAGACGTGGTAGAATTTAAAAAAATTTCAAGTCACTTTTGAGCTATTTATAGACGTTTTAATTTTGCGTGTTTTTACATAATTACATAATTTGGTAGGAACTTTGTGGATAAAATTATTAAACTAAACGAAAATACATGCAATTTAAACAGGTGGTTACATTATAAATGTACAAAGTGGTAAGAAAAAAAAGAATTGAGCGTATTGTATCTTTTTTTTTAATAAGAGTTTTAATAAGTATCAAATATTGACAAAAATCGTAAGTATTATAGAATTTCTAAACATGTATAACCAAACTTCGCTCCGAATTATTTTTCGTTAACAATGGTATATCGTTAGTTATAGGTATAAATTAAATAAATTTATGGATAGGATTTCTAGCTACCCACCTACAATAATGGCCGCAACCGTCCCCAGTATTTAAAAAAAAAAATTGTTTTCAAACGTATTCTTTGATCACAGGGAGAAAGCCTTAAGTCAATTTTTGATATATTTTTTTTAATTATAATATTTTTTCTTTATTTTAGATTCTGAGTGTAGCGAAGATTGTATTTGGTTTACTAAGATGATATTTTTTTTTTATACTGTGTACAAAAAAAACTACCAGAAATCTTGCTCAGTTATATATGTTCGGCATTTCTGAAAGGGAATGTTGCCCAGATGGTACTTTTGGAAGGTCATTTTTTGATTTTTCAAGCGGTTTTCATAATATCCGGGAAAAACCAGGATAAAACGTAAGAAAAACGGGAATTTATTTTGTGCTATTTATAGACGTTTTAATTTTGCAAGTTTTGTGCATAATATATATTCGGTAGGTACTCTGTGGTAAAATTGTAAGACTTGAACAGAAATGTAACAAAATTTAATAGGAAGTTTATAAAAAGTCTTACTCTGTAGTAAAAACAATAAAAATAAAATTGAGTGGTGTGGTATTTTCTTTTTATAAGGGAATTTCTATATCATATTTTGACGAAAATCGTTTTAGAAAAAAATTATGTATAACAATTATAATTTTTAAATTTTTTTTTTTTGAACATATGTATATATACATTGCCAATTTAAGAACGATGATGAAGTCAGAATTAAGCGGACTGACTATAAGTTTTGAAATTATAACTTTTTGAAGTTCTAATATTACTCGGATTTTATATGCTATGTTAAATAACTCTATATTGTCATTATTAAAACATATTTATTGTGACCTAATGATTATTTATGCCTGTTATCGTCTTAGGGGTTCCGAGTTCAAACCATTGTGTCAAAAAAAAATGTTTTGCATTTTTTTCTCTTTTACCCAAACAAAAAAAAAACAAATGCATTTTGGACATACCTAGAGAAACCCAAGCCATCGCTCCTTCGGACTACTTTAATCACAAAATACCCCTCAATTTGTTGTAAAAACTTTTCTACCAGAAATTTTGCCCATGCGTATCATATGTAGCTTATTTTCTGAAAGGAAATTTTATCTCCATGGTAATTTAAGGAGATCATTTTTTGATTTTTTAAGTGGTTTTCATAATATCTGAGAAAAACCGGGATAAAATGTTAGAAAAACGGAAAATGTACGAAAATCAGGTATTAGTAAAAAAATATGATGGCCTTTTTTTCTGTGTAAAACTCTTCTACCATCAATTTTGCTCTGATTTAAAATGATAGCACTTTTTCTGAACGGAAATCTGACTGGGAAGGTACTTTAAAGAGGTAATTTTTCGATTTTACTGGGAGTTTTCCTAATAAATGGGAAAAATCGATACAATTGAAACAAATATTATTAAAGAAAATATATAATGCCTATTTACTTATTTTATTATAATATAACATATATATTATTGACAAAGCATCATTATAAACTGAAATGTGCTCAAAATCGTTTTTTTATGAGCAATGGTTTATTGTTGCTTACAGATATACATTAAATTACCTATAACAGCGGCTGCACCCGTTTCCATTATCCTAGGACGTCTTTTTTGGTCTTAATTGCATAAATATATGCATAGTATTTTCAACATTGAACTTGTTTGTAATGACAATTATACACTAAATTGAATTCCCTGGGACTATGAAAATAAATGTTGAACAGTTGAAATCTATATAAGATACCTACCAAATTATTTTCAGACTAATAACAAAATAACGAACAACTATTTTATAAAAGTAGCTGGTTTTCTTTATTAAATTTCACCGTGTTACGATTTTGTAAATAACTATTAAAATATAATGAAAATCGGCAAAACTGTAGATATCTTTAAAGAACAAACTAAATCGCCAACCAAAAAATTGTTAAACTAAATGATAATAAACCATATGTCCATATTATTAGGTATATTCAATATTAAAACGTTTCAATATGTGCTTATGAATATAACACAGTATTTTATTATATTAGTTATTACCTAATTTTTGTTAGAACGATATTTTTATTTATTACAAAAATAATTTATATCGTATAAATTAGCTCACCTTTTGTATGAGAATGTGCATTTTGTTCAGATTTTTGTGATTCCTTAAAAATTGAAAAACCGCACACAACACTCACACCGATACCGAATTAATATCAAGATGCCATAAAGTGGAAAACGTACTAAAACGAACGGTTCGGTTTTTCGCCCACAATACAATACACTTATATAGTTGTACACTATAACACATAATATTAAATTGAATTATCTTCCCTTTCCTTGACTCTACATGCAGTTTTATATTTCATCGTTTTTTTCCGACACGTACGAAAACAGAAATATACTGATGCCACATTGCCGCCACTAAAATATTATTACAGTGCGATTTATCGTAGTGACTGTACCACCACCTCTCATCTGCTGCGTTGGAAAAACAGAAATCCGCATGGAAAAAAAAAAGAAAAACAGTAGCCGTCGCTTAAACACAAAATATTATATCAGAAACAACAATCAAATTAATGTAATATAATATATCTACAGACAGTACACGCTATATTGTAAGGACCCATGCCTCAATAATAATAATAATATTATCGAAGTCTGATCTCACAAAAAGAAGGTACTTACAATATTAATAACAGGATCATGCTTTGATGCTCTATTTTAGATTAGACTGCGTGTACGCTGCAGGGCCGTCTTTAGGATTTACAAGGCTCAGGGCGAAATTTGAAATTTTCTTATATTTTCTTATATTATAATTAGTATTTTTTTTCTAACGCGGGTTCTCAAATCTAAATAAAAAAGGCGAGACCAAAGGCGTGGGTCCTGTTTTTCCCTCCTATGGACAGCTATAGATAATACTCGTAAATACAATTTTTATCGCTGTAATATTATATATTCATATTATCATAAGTACTCGTAGATATAATATTATATATTTAAAATCGTATTATCAATATAAAAAAAATACATCCGATGGAGGGAACCATAGTTCCTCTGCTCCCACCCCCTGATTACGTTACTGCCTAGGCGTGCATATGTGTGCACATTACATTAATAGATTAATATAGATATAATAGTAAAAATATATAAATTGAAATACATTGTCTGTTTAAACCAGTGGCGTGCCTAGCAGGAAGACTTGGTAGGTTCGGGCCTACTCTGTTTTCAAATAGTTATTATTCATATTTTTTACATTATTATTTAATTTTTCTAGAAACATAATTTTATATTTTTTTTTGAATATGTCAAAAACTTTATCACGAATGTTAAGAAGTTCAAAAAAAAAAAAAAAAATGACTCAAAAGCCAAAATATTAAACCAATTTCGTTTGAAGTATTATTTGTTTTATCATTTCTTGATAACCTTTTATCAACTATCAATGTATTTCCAATACATTTACAAACTTCTTCTCTCGACATAATAATTCAATTTTTACATTGAGTGAAGTAATAAACGGGGCCTTGGTTTTCACCATACTTGTGCACATCCAGTTGAAAATCTATAAGCGATATCGACGTATCGGTATTACTATTATACGTTAGCTTTACGTATATTCTATTTTTGTCATCATTATCGTTAATCAATGATATTAATGATAATGCGACAAATAAATTGTTTTTTATATAAAAATTAAATGTTATTAGTTATGGCACTTTTGGTTGTTGTAAAAAATAAAATATCAGAATAAATATCGTAATAATCATAAACTTGGAATTATTTTTTTTTTTAATGAACATTTCAATAATTGCACACCACCCGTTTTAAACATTACGAGCCGCCAATGAATTATTATGCATCTATCTATATTGCAATAATAGTATGTAAACATTTCATACTAAGGCGTTTTTTTATGTCTATCGCCTATCTGCCAAGTATCATTATATTTATTAAATAGTTAAATAGAAATAAACAATATAACATAGATAACCTATTAAAATAGTAATAATAATTTTATGTATGAACACAACTAAAATTACACTTATCCAGTTATGCCGATGTAATAATAATCTTACCTTAAGATATTATAAAGTACAGTAAAATAATCACAAATAATAACTGGGCAAAGCCGATGACAGTATTGTGAAATGTTTTCTCTATATCAGGGGCGTGCTCTCGGGGTGGATAAGGGTGTCATATTCCCCCTTGAACTTTTTTTTGTGCATTTGTTAGAAGTTCATTGGTAGTTTCAGTTTTCTCGAATAAAATAAGTAGTATATAGTTGGTTTTAAATTTTAGTTATATTAATTTTTATCATATATATAATATATAGTAATAGTAATTATCTATAGATAATACATAAATATTAGAACAAAAAGGTACCAATGGACTATCATAATATTTTAGTCCATTATATTCCAATATCTATGTTATAAAACGCGACCATCGGCATATTAATATATATATATATATATATATATATTATTAAAAGTATTTATAGTTATGCAATTTTTAGCTATGCTATAATAAAATTTTTACCAAAAGTATATTAATACATATACCTAATTGCTTAAATATTTTTAGTAATTTCATATTTTAGATTCTGAGTGGAGCGAAGAAGCTTATGGTTTTACAAAGATGTTTATTTATCTTTTTTTCCATTAATTTTACTCAAATTTACAATGATAGCACTTTTTCTGGAAGGAAATCTGACAAGGAAGGTACTTTAAGGAGATAATTTTTCGGTTTTCTCATCAAATGTCTAAAACCGGAAAAAACGGAGGAAAAACGTGATAATCGGTACATTAAACAAATATTATTGAAGAAAATATATAAAGCCCATTTAATTATTTTACCTTGTATATTGTTACCAAAGCATCACTATTGACTGAACTCCACTCAGAATCGTTTTTTATTAGCATTTATTTATCGTTGCTTACAGGTAGATGATATACATTAAATTACTTATAACAGTGACCCCTTTATTTTAGTACTGCATTTTTAAGACAAAAAAAATCATTTCTTACTACCTAGTGTACATACATTTTGTCTTTTACTGTTTAGACACTTAAGAATGTACGGATACTATTATCTATACAACATTTAGGTTAACTTTAAATGAAAAACATTAAAAAGGAGGTTTAAAATATTAGTTTAAAAAATATAGATATGTATATAATATAAATATTATATATATATATACATGAACATTGTAAATTGTACCTAATTATCTACTCTTAAAATATCAATGTATATACCAATAAGCACATTTTATACATTTTTGTATATGATTATCAATGAAACAAAATATAGTTCTTCCCCCCCCCCCCAAAGGAAAAAGTTGAGTACACCTCTGTTCTATATTATAATATACCAACCAATAATTAACAAATATTTATAACTAATTAATAACTAATATTTGAATATAAACCCACAACATCGTCATAGGTCCTGCATGGTATTAACTATGATTATTTTACCGTATTTTATTATAAATTATAGTAATGGTAAATATCAATAACCCGAATGAATTTAATGGTAGTTTCAGTTATTTGATAAATTGAATAAAAACAGTCCTAGGATAATGGAGACGTGTGCAGCCACTGTTATGTGTGGGAAGTTGAGAAGGTAGGATACAAAAGGGAATTATATGCATATATCTGTAAGCAATGATAAAACATTACTAACGAAAAAACGATTCTGAGCGGAGTTCAGTTGATAGTGATACTTTGTCAACATATATATATATGTTATATTATAGTAAAATAATTAAATAGGTATATTTAGTATATTTTTTTTCATTATATTTGTTTAATATTGATTCGATTTTCCCATATTTTCTCCTAGCTTTTCACATTTTCTGGGAAAACTGTTGGGAAAATCGAAAAATGACCTCCCTAAAGTACCTTTCCACTCAGATTTCTTTTCAGGAAAAGTGCTATCATTGTAAATCGGAGTTGTCCACAGAAAAACAAATCGTAATATTTTACTAATATGTATCGTAAATTTTTTTTACAATTTTTTCAATTTTTGATTGCTACCAGAAATCTTGTTTTAAATTTCAAGAATTAAGAAAATGTTATCTAATTAGCGAGTAAAAAAATATTTTTTTTGATTTAGTAGTTTTCTTAATAATGTGGCCAACCAGGAAAAAACGGTTTCATTATTTTAATTTTTTTTTTTTATTATTTGGTTAATAATACTTGTATACACCTGAAATTTTCACAAAATACTTATATTAGACTTTTCTAGACGACGTAAAACTTTCAAAATAAGCTGGCGATTTTCAATCTATATATATCTATATAAGCTTTTGACATTTTGAAGTTTCATTTAGGTTTTATTTGGTAAGTATTATTTGTATAAAATTGTTTGACCAAACAGAAATGTTTAAATTTTAACAAGAAGTTAATTATACTTATGTTGTAATTCTATTTTGGCATTTCAAAACTATAATATGTAACCAAACTTCACTCAGAATCTTATTCATTTGTAATGGTTTATCGTTGCATACAGATATAAATTAAATAACTTTATTTATCCTACCTTCCCAAATCCCAATATAATATATTATTTAATTTAAATATATCTACTAAGAATATGGCTATTTTTTACAGTTTACACGAAATAAGTTAATTGGTTGCATGATATCGTACAGGCGTTTAAGCAATCTGGAAAATTCTTTAGAAATGCTAATAAAAAAACTCTGCGATTAGGTACTCATTATAATAATTTATCTCGGTACCTATCTTGTTTGTGCTGTATACGTGTAATTTTGTCGGTGTCATATTTAAATATTATTCATAATGAGTAGATAGGTATTTATTTTATTCTATACCAAAGTACTACTAATATAGTTCTTATACCTACTATTATATAATATTTTTGTAGTCTAAGTCAATTGTTTTGTTTCGCGTAAGTTGGCAAGTAAGTGCCTAAATCAATTATTTGCTTACAAGATTAGATTATGTTTTTTAGTGTAGGTACTAATAAGTAATAAATATTATTAAAAAAGAAAAAAAAAAGAAATGATATAACATATTTTGACGTTTAGCTAACTAGGCAGGTGGGTAGGTTCGCAGTTTGCGTTGCACCGTTCGTTTATAACATCAATATAACTACATTATATACCTATATCATATT